TATTGCGGTGTGCAATAAGATTTTCTGTCAAAATCTACAGGCAACAATAATAATCGTGTCAAATACATATTTGTTAATCTAAAAGGTGATTATATAATTATGGATGTTTTTCCAATCACAGACACCCGTTGGCGCTTATTTTCCAAAAACGAAACAAAAGAAACATCCCTCAAGTGTAAAATCACCAAGGGCAGATTTAAGAGATGCAGTCTCAGAAACATCTTATATCTTTGCTTCTTACTGGGTCTGTACCCTCAACAGTCTGCCAATTGTACCCCATAGCTGTAGGTAATTGTGCCTTTTAAGATACAATGACTTTGAGGAACATTTCTGTACCATTGATGGTACAAAAATGATGCTTGTACCTTTGGGATGTTCCTCAGAGTCCATTTCTGTACCTTAAAAGGTACAATTACAATAAGAGTACAGGCCCAGTGACAAGCTAAGGTACACATTTTTACACGTTAGTATAACTAGTACATACGTAGTCACACCACATATTATAATAAAATAATAAAATGAAATATGGATTAAAAGCGGAACCGTAGAAGAGACATGGTGCGGGCTGGCCACCCCCATAAATATAACTGGCCCTGGAATGTCACCCCAATCAAAATGTTCTGCAGGCACCACTGAAGATCACCCCTAAATGAAACCAAAGGAGACATTATCATTTCACTCAGATGCTAAAGATTTCATCCAAATGTTACATTCCACCTTTGTAAATTTCAGCACATTAAAAAAGATCGTCATACTGTCCTGAAAAGTACTTTCATTGATTTAATTACATTTACCGATTTCAAGTACCGATTTCTACAGCTCTGGCGTACCACGGCAGCTGAGAGAGGTGAGGAACTGGGAGTGTTTTATTTGCTCTGGTCACGCAGCGTGTGTCGGCGGTGCATGACCGTTTTTCCTGCCTCTCTTAGCATTTTGCTCAGCGGCTCGAAGGAAAAGCTACAGTGGATATAAAAAGCCCACACACCCCTGGCAAAGTGGTGGGTTTTTTTGTGTGATAAAAAACAATGAAACCAGGACAAATCGTATTAGAACTCAATCCACCTTTACTGCAAAATCGCAACCTGTACGAAGAACGTGAAAACAAATCAGAAAGGGGGGAATCATACAAAAACATGGCTACATTAGCGTGCACACCCCTAAATTAATGGTCTGTTGAAGCACCCTGTGATTTTATTACAGCACCGAGTCATTTTGGGTAAGAGTCTATCAGTTCGGAACATCTGGACTTTGCAATATTTGCCCGCTGTTCTTTGCAAAAATGTTCCATTTCTGTCAGATTGTGGGGGCATCTCTTATGCACAGCCCCCTTCAGGCCACCCCACAGATTTTCGACCAGACTATGGTCTGGGCTCTGGCTGGGCCATTCCACACCATTGATCTTCTTTCGTTGACGCCATTCTTTCATTGATTTAGATGCATGCTTTAGGTCGTTGTCTTGCTGAAAGGTGAAATTCATCTTCATCTTCAGCGTCCTAGCAGATGCTTGAAGGTTTTGTGACAAAACAGACAGATATTTGTAGCTATTCATGATTCCAACCACCATGACTAAAGCCCCAGTTTCAGCTGAAGGGAATCAGCTCCAAAGCATCATGCTGTCTCACCCATGCTTCACCCTGGGTATGATGTTCTTTTGATGATGTTCTGTGTTATTTTTGCACCAACATACCTTTTGGAATAGTTCAACCTTGTCTCATCAGACCATAATGGATTTTTCCACATGGTTGTGAGAGACTGGATATTTATTGATTTATTATATGTTTTTGCAAAGTTTAGTGGATGTTTTTCTTTGTGAGTAAAGGCTTTCATCTTGCTACCCTACCTCACAACCCAGGCTTATGAAGAATACAAGATATTGTTGTGACATGTACGGAATGGCCGGTACTTGCCAGGAAATCCTGCAGCTCTGTTCCTGTTGCTGTAGGCCTCTTGGTGGCCTTCTCCTGGTTTTCTCATCAATCTTGGAGGGACGTCCTGATCTTGGTAGAGCCAATTTTGAGTAGTGGTGGACAAAACGATGCCTCATGAACCATTTGCTATATTTTCTGATCCCACAAGATGGCGCCCTTGGCTTGCTTTTGGGCATGCTTTGAGCTTTTTTTTTGGAGAGCGCATCATCTCCTGGGATCAAAAAATACTGCAAATGTTTCCTCAAGCTTTGTTTTGGCCATCACTACTGATTAGCCATATTTTCCCCACTTGTTGATGACCATCTTCTCTGGGCTCTGTTTAATGCTTTGGATACTTTTTTGTGCCACTCTCCTGCTAGCTATCAATGATGAGATCCCGTTCATGTTCTGAAAGCTCTTTGTGGACCGTGGGCTTTGGAGTATGATGCAATCAACAGGACATGAGAATAATCCTACAGGAACAGCCAAACTTTATCTGATTTCAGTCAGTAACTTTAATTGATGATAGGAATATACTAACTTCTGTTTAAGATGAGACTGAATGTGATAAGTTGATTCTGGACACACCTACATCTTTGCTTATTAAAGGGTGTGCTCAATTAAGCAGCCAGGTTTTTGTATGTTTTTTGTTTTGATTTTTTACCCTAAACAGTTTCTGATTTGTTTTCGCCTTCTTTGTATAGATTGCAGTTTTGAAATAAAAGTGGAATAAGTTCTGACATGATTTATGTCAGTTTTATTTTTTTTTATCACACAAAGCCAGTCATTTTAGCTGGGATGTGGAGACGTTTTACATCTACTGTATGCATGGGCAGCTTAATAAGCTCCATACATGAAAAGATGATGGTTTGATTACTAAGATTCGGGGAAAAACTTGATAGGAGCTTGATTGCATATTTGAAACAGCAATCAGTTTCATCTTCCTTTTGCTTCTGTTTTTCTACTATCCCTTATTTTCAATTCTGGGCTAATGAAGATTCCCACTGAAATGCAGGACCTGCAGAATATGTAATCCAGGCCAGATGGAAGAAAGGAAGAAAATATTAAAAACACTAGTGCACACTGTAATTAAAATGCTTTTATTATCTGATGGTGATGTATTGATTGTGTTTCCTGTGACTGGAATACTTTAAAATTGGTATCCCTCAAGTAACTGGTCGCAGTAAATTGCATTCATATAAAATATTAATGAATGAATATTCTAACTCTTCATCCTGGTCAGGGTCATTAGAGTCTATTGCAAGTATCTCAGGGCTAAAGGCTGAGGTATACACCTGCACCATCACAAGGCCCAAGCTATGGCTATTTTCCAGCTGCTAATTAGCCTAGCTGCATGTCTTTGGGGGGCAGGAGGAAGCACAGGCCATATTGGGAGAACATGGGATTTGAACCTACAACCTGGGAAGTGTGAGTCAACAGTGGTACACCAATATTATAAAGTATGTTATCGTTGCTTAATTGATAATGCCTAACAGAAATGCTTATTTTATTTGAGCTGAATTTCAGAGGATGATTCTCAACTCAGAAATGATTAAGTTTTCCAGTCTGAGTTTTTAGCACTGCTGTGAGATCAGACAGAGCCTAACAAAACTATCAAAAAGCACATTCATTTCTCCAAGTTAGGGGAATTCGCTCGGGGGTCATGACACACACGTGGTCTTGCCTGTTTCCCTCCTCAGTGACGGCTAGGTGAGTCGGGGGTCCCTTTAGGCTGGGGGCGTAAGGATGGGGGCAGGGAGCGTTAGGAGCTTGACATGAGATGATGAGGCCTCCCCAGCGGCGGACCCAAACACAAAGTAACGCAGGGGTGTCGCTGGTGCCGCGTGGGGAAATTACCCTCTTTCGCATCCGTCCTCCTGCACTTTCTCTCCATTCAGGTCGTTCCCATGGCAACCCAGCGCACCGCACGGCTGGCTCTCAGCCTGCTCAGACGGGGCAGGGCTCGGCCAATCCGAGTCCACCTCTCGTGTGATGTCATCAATAAAAAAAGTCTCTCCCAGTTGCTTGCTTCCTTAGCGTTTGCTGCGTTCTTCGTGGTGCCGCAAGAAGGTGTGCCCTGCCTAGGAGGCGCTCTTCTGTATCATTTGACACCCCCTTTCCCCCCAGATAACCCACAGATCAGCCAGCCTGTACTTTAAAGGGCCCCTGCCTATTATAAGGTGTTTATCAGGCAAAGGCTGCATCGACTTTGGATGCGGCAAAAATCAGCTGCCAGCAGGAACCACGCTGGTGCGGTTCTGGCTCTCGGTGCCGCCGGACGTCCACCTCGTTTTCCGAGCATCTGCTCTAGATAACCATGTATAGCATACATCTTTAATCGCTCAGCGAGAAGATGAGCAGAAATACCGAAGTAGGTCAGCGCCGGGCAATCTGGGACGTCTGGACACCCCTGGGCCCCTCCCAAAGACACTCGCTACATATAACTTTCTGCTCCTGCCAGGCTGGTTAATCCGTAAAGAGGTTCTGGAGGCAGGGAGATGCGGTAGAACCGCGCGGGATGCCGGCGTCTCGTCTGCGGGAGGGGGGCTCGCGTGCGCCGAATATGGACGACTTGGGACCCCACCTGGGCGGGGGGCCGGGAGGGGGGTCCACACAGGTCCCAGTGCCGGGACATTCCCTGGAGGGGCTTGCTGAGTCGGGATCTGCGTGCCGGGAGAAGCTGGGACCATCAGGTGGCCCTAGCCTGACAACCTCGGTGGGCTTGGTGGTATAAGCCTGTGGTTCTGCTCGTCAGGGGGAGTCACACACCAGCGGGCAGGTTAGCAAACTCCGCGTTTTGTCCCACATAGGAGAGACCTAAGGGACCACTGCTCCACTTTTTACATCTGCCCCCCCCCCCCCAAAAAAAAATATTCCCTATTTATCTCATTAATTTAAATACTGCTTCATTCAGATGAGATTACAAACGATTTGCGATGCAGATCGCCGGCAAGCCTCAGTTCCGCACCCGGTCTTGCTTTACGGGAATCTGCTGTCTGTCTGAGGAGCTTCCTTTCCTTTTCACCTAGAAAACGTTGCTGATATGGCCACCCTATAAACCGCTTTCCCCTCTCTTGCTCTCTGTTCCTAAAGTGTCTGCATCCTGAGGAGTGCTTCCCCATGGAGGACAGGAAACACCCCCGGAAACCTATCATGGATGGTCTGACCATAGACGCCCCCTAAGGCCAGAAGCACAGCAGGGATTTTTTTTCAAGGGGCGTGAGACCCGCGATGAGCTGGGGGCACTGGGACTGGAGCAGGGAGACGCCGAGCCTACTGGGAGCAGCGGGACGCAGGATGGCGTGAGGATCTCGGGCCGCCGGCGCACAGATCACCTGGCAGCGATACCTTCGTGCTGAGGTGAGTACGCTTCGGAGTTTCGCTTACTCTGATTGGCTACGGGGAAGAGCCTGAGGAACCTTGAGTGGTCCGCACTGACCGGCGCGAGGCCACCGCACTGGCGTTTCCGCTGGTGCTTCATCCATCCCCGCTCTGGTGCTTCATCGCCCGTTATGACTCACGTCTTTCGGGCTCAGCCAATCATACTACGGCAAAGCTGAGTCTACGAACGGGAAGTCGGTCTAATCCAAGTCAAGGTCCTGACATTAATCGCCTGGGGCGAGAGATATTATTTCGCTTGAAGTTGAGGATCACAGCAGATGTCTCTCAGTCTGTAGCAGCACAGAAAAGAACGATGACAGCGAAGATCGGGCTTCATTTTTACAATATAGGCGGCACTGTGGCTCAGTGAATAACACAGCTGCCTCAACACCTCCAGGGCGGTGGGACTGACATCCGCGCCTCTAGGTGGAGTTTGCATGCTCACCCCATATAGTCTAAACAAATGCAGTTAGGCTAACTGGCTACTATAAATTGCTAGCAGTATGCAACTGTGGCATGTCATCCAGGGTGTGTCCCCTAACCCTAACCCCAACCCCCCCCCCCCACAAAGACCATCTCCAGGATAAGGGGGTGAAAGGTGCCTGTATGGGTATCATGGAGGTCAACAGGGTTTTTCGTTTCCATTTCGAATGTTCATGTCAAAGACGTCACCAGCAGTTTGGGAAGCAATGCCAGGAGGTGTCACTCTGTTGTGCCGTTGACAGGGGCGTCCAGGAAGAGTGCGACACTGTTTAAAGTTTGTCGCGTGGCAAAGGGAGGCCGGCCGGCCGTATCACCCGGTTCTCCATTACTGTGCCTCTGTTATTCAGGCTGCCATATTGCTGTTAACTAATTCATGAAGCACAGAAGGTCTCGGGCTTATATGGAGAAATCATGGCGATCTTAGGCCGGTCACAGAAGGACTCCATGGTAAGACTCGCGTATTGTTGATCAGTACTCTGAAGTGCTCCAAAGAGTCGATTTTGCCTCAACAAGATTGGATTATTCACACGGAGATGTTTGCTTAGTTTTCCCGCCATTGACAGTTCCACATCTGAAGGAGCAGGACATCATAACGGGGTGGGGGCTCTCTTCTTTGAGAGCATACCTTCTGAGAGCATTCCAGAGGAGTTAAATAGTAACTGCAATAAGTAGTTTACTGGGAAATTTTATCATAATGAATCTTCGAGGCAAATTCACATTATGTTTTATGTTTTCAGCTCGGCAAAGATTTTCTGTGTTTTATGGGTGAATAATGGAGCCCAAGCTACTGTGTTTGTTTTACATGTTGAATGAGGTAACTTGCTGTGTTTTTACTATGGTGCACTTTGGAGGTCACTGCAATCAAAACAGGTCCCTGATGTTTCAGTCTGGGTGGGTGATCTGTGGAGCCTCTAGCATGATCATTAACACACTGAAAGCGACCGCATGAAGGCGTTTGCAGGCATCTGAGGAAGGTCCACTAGCTGGTCATTCGAAATCCTTCTTTCTGTCTAACTGCTGTGTTTTGTGGATGTAAGCATCTCAATTATTCACAAATTAAGTATAATCACCACAGTTCCCTGCTCTCTGCCTTCAAACATGTTCCCCTCTATTTTTAACACAGATATAGGTGCCACGTATAATAATCTTTCCTGCTTGTGAAATCCTGCTACCGAATTGCCCAGCCCGTTTGGCTGATGACGTTTAGCCCACCAAGACGGGCTCATCTGGTACAACAGCCCTTGCTACCTACTAGGTAGCCCGGTGATGCCGGTCTCCATGGTAACACCAGCAGATGGATTGCAACTCCTGCGATGCTCAGCAGAGAGCAGCTAAGGTCCCCCGCAAAACCAGAGCGCTCCGGATGGTTCCGCGCCTCGCTATCCGCACTCCTGTCCCAATCACCCGTAGCGTCCACGCTAGCTTGTCAAGAGGACAGAGACGCATCCGAATCCTACCTGCGCACCTTTGGTGTCCCGTCTCGCTTTTTATCAGGGAGACGACCAACTTTCTAACAAGTGGCAGGGTGTTTCTAAATCACTGGTTCCTTGAGATGTATCACGGGGGGGGGGGTTGAAGGTGCCTCACAGCCGCTGCATGCTGACCTGAGTATGACTGACAGGCATCTATACAGTGAGCCCTTCGTGCGGCACCTGTGAAATGTATGCGCACAGCCTCCTCCGTAGACTGGCCTGGCATTAGTAAGCAGAGCTGGCATCCCGCCTCAGATCAGCGGTCTCCTCTTTCACACGCGCTTGGCTCTTCTGATGCCCGTTTCGGACGTCCCCTTTGTCAAAAACCCCATAAAACAAACTATGGCACCTGTGAATATTACACCCCCCCCAGCATTACAATATGCCTTTTTAAAATGTCCTGTTCTTGCATTATTCATTCCGGACTGACGCACTTTGTGGGCCACTTCATACTCATCTGGGTAGTTTTTTTATTCTCAGGGTGCCTGATCATTGCTGACGGCTGCGTGAAGCATCCAGAAATATTTTATTATAAGCAGAAATTACTGCATGCCTTGGCACTGGCTCTGTATGGGACAATGGACCCACATTTTTGGTCATTTATTGGGGGATCAGATGCGTTAACTAACAGAGGTCTAAACAGTCTAAACGGCATGACTCTGTATGGGAGTCCAGGTGACTCAAACGAGGACATTTCTTTTAATCATGCGCACACGTGTCAATTGCCTCCCTCCCTGTACATATCGGTCGTGGGAAATTGAGTCCACGGAGTCAGAAGAGAAGCTGTCTTAAGTGTAACATCCCCAGGAAGCAGTCATCGGCGTGGATGATGAAAGGAGAGGCTGAAGCCGCGAGCAGGTTGGCCTGGAGTTCCATCTTCGCGCCCGTGCTTAGGAGAATAATTCTGCTTTATTACTCTTTTAATTGCACAGCAAGCACAAGGCACCTCAAGGGCAAGGAGAGCAGGAAACAGCACAGCCAGTTTCTGATGTAATAGTGCTGGTGATGAATGAGCTGGGGAGACTTGGCGTCCTTAATCCGCAGGACGACAGCAGCCTTGTAACAGGCGGTCGGGACGCAGTGGGGATTCCACTTTCTGGACTCTCACCATATGTCCGCTCAGTGCCTGTGAAGCCCCGGACGCAAGCCCCCCCCACCCCCCATCCTGGCGGGGCCATGCGCCTCTTTCATGGTCGGGACAGGGGCGTCGCCGTGGCGGTACGGCGAGCTAAGGTGGAGATATTCGCCTCGTCTTCGGCTTGACTGTTTGTGGGAGAGAGGTGCCGCGTTTCTGTGGAGATTTATAATGAAGGTGTAGTGCGATTTAGGCCGTGAGAACGCTCACAGAAAGAGGGCACTGGGAAGCTCGAGGAATCGGGGCCTCAGGGTCCACGTATTGGGAGGAGGGCAAGATGAAGAACAGGAAGTCAAAGACGAGAGGGAAAGCGGGAGATGTCAGAACGCAGGGGATTTTGGTGTGTTTTTATCAGCGTTCTTCAGGACCATAACAGGAAGGCGAGAGTGTGAGGCGGGGTGCACCTTCACTGGGATGCCAACCCGTTGGTGGGTAACTCACACACACCCACACAGGCGAAACGCTGGGGGAGCCACCAGGACATGGGAATGAGCTGACGTAGCTGGAGGAAGCCGGCGGGAAGCGCGCGGAGAACATGCGAGGGGCCGCAGTCTGCAGCGATGCAGCCCAGCCAGATCATCAGCATGCAGGACTTACCGCAGCATCCAGTCCAGAATTACCATCTGAACCAGGGGTGGGCAATCTTATCTGCAAAGGGCTGGTGTGTATGCGGGTTTTCGTTTCAACTCCCTAATTAGATTACTAATTAGAGGACTGATTGGCTGAAGAGTCCTCACACCTGGGTTCGAACAGCTGACCTACAGGTTATCCCAAAGACCTGCGTACACACCGGCCTTTTGCGGATAAGATTGGCCACCCCTGGTCTGAACGGTTTATTTTCATAAACCTGCTTTATTAGGTTTCACTCCATTTAGTATCTATATGCTATTCATCGTCTTTTATTCTGACTTGCATATCATGATGAAAAAATCTAGTCTATAGCCTATAGGATACAAGAATCAAAAATCAAATTGGTATCTTTTCTATGTGTTTTTTATTGAAATCATTCATCCAATTTCAAATGACATAATACACTTACAATGGTAAATAAAATTATTCATGGGCTTTCTTGATGTTTGATAAGTTCTTTAAACAGTAAGTGAAGACAAGTGAATCTGAACACTCCGAGACAGAGAAAAAGTCATATTTCATACATGTGATTTAAGATTAAGATTAACTTATTATTATAACTGTATATAATTATTACTATTTGCCTAAAAAAAACCTAGCGCCAGGTTATGTCGCTGTATCATTTGCAGTGCTGGGGGTCATGCAGAAACAGGACAGTTCATCCACTGTGGAAACAGAATCAAAAGCATTTGACTTCAGAACATAGTACTCAGATGGCAGAACTCTTAAAAGCGGGCTGGACCCAGAGATGATGTGCGTACATGTATATGTGTGTGTGTGTGTGTGTGTGTGTGGGTTTGCATAGATCACATTTGGGGACGAAATTGTCCCCAAAGTGTAGTGAAACCTGAAATTTCCCTACTTTTGGGGACATCTTTTGAGGTCCCCATTTGGATAACCTCAGTTTTATAAAAGTCTGTGAATGCAATCAAAAAAGTAGAAATGCCAAAAGCCTTGTATTTGGGTTGGTTACTTACTGTATGGTTAAGGTTAGGGATGGATAAGGATTAAGGGTGTCGTGATTGGGATTAGGGTTTTTCCCATAGAAATGAATGGATGGTCCCCATTTAGATAGGAAGACCAACTTGTGTGTGTGTGTATGTGTGTGTGTGAGTAACAGAGAGAGAGCAGTCCGTTACATAAAACGGCGTGCTGAAGCAGCGGGCTGTACACAAAGTTGTGCTTCTCGGATCCGGCCTGCATGACAAGTGACGCAGGCTTCCCTGCAACAGATCAGTGATGTCACCACTCTGCTGCACGGCTTCTCCCACAGTTCATTCCACTTCTCAACTCTGAGGAACAGATGTGCCATCTCTTATCAGAGAACCTTTACCAGCTCCATCTTCTCGCGCATTTCTCTGCCTATACACATTTTGCTAAACATATTCTGATGGTCTCGGCTGCTTAAGTTTTCCTAAGGCAGTTAACTGCCCCTCCATTGACCATATCTGCCACTGTTGTCACCTGCTAAACCAGATCACCGTCTTATTCTCAGGAAATCCTTCAGCGCGTTAACCACAGCTTTCACAATATGCCGACAGACTGACTGTGCTGGGCTTGGCCAATCTCTGCCCGCTAAACCGCGTTCGTACACCTGTGAGCCTGTCCCGTAACAAATGAATCATTTAGTGAAATATCACATTTTGGAAGTATTTCGGAGGGACACGCAGCGGCGGGGCAGCGGATCACCGAGTAGTGTCTCCCCAAGCGGTTTCTGGCATATAATTAGCTTTCAGTATCCTTCGTGCTTTATTTCTATGTCTTAATCGTGCGCATCCTCCCACGTAGACCATTGCCCCTGCGTCCCATTTTTTGTCTACATCCCCTCCTCCCTCTTATCGCGCTCACCTCATCTGTCATCGCAATGCAGCCAAAAGAGACGCTCGTCGCATCCGAGAGAAGCTTATTGTCCCTATTATACAGTTATTGCCATACGGTGTTTTTTCCTCAGTTATGCACGGAATGGGTGTCCTGCCAGGCGGTCTTCAGGGCTTTGCTCCTGTCGTGAGCAACTGGAAGGTGAACCGCATCGCTGCCTGATGGTGCTTCAAGTCTAGGCTCGGACTGGCAAGGGCACGGTCTTGGAATTGCGTTTGGGATTTTGATTTTTTCAGCGATCGTACACCCATGGACAATCAGTCGACCCTTCAACGTAAGTACGATATAATGAATCATGGCTTTGCTTATAAATTCGCTTAGATCGGACTCCAGCCCGCGGCTGAAGCCTGGCTTTTCGAGGCGCTGTTTGTGCATGGCTTGTCAGACCGTTCAGATGGTCCTTCCAAGGATCTCCGGTCGCTCAGATGAACCAGTTTAAAGGGATCGATTTTACATCCGACTGTACCCCCACCCCCTCTGTCCAGGCGCCGTGCTTCTCGCTTGTAGGATATCAGCCTCCGGTGCTTAAGTTCTGCATCGCTTGGCTATGAATGGGGGAGAAATGCACATCGTTCGCATGGATAAATGGTTTTGGCCGCAGAAGTATATGTAAAATGGTCCTTTAAACCCCACGGGTTCGGATGAGCGAACTGGGCTGAGCGTCAGAGGCAGCCGATCGCTGCAATAGAGGGCGAACATGTTTCCTTTATAAAAAAGACTGTAAAGGGGATGACAGTTTAACACGGCTATTCGGTCTGCCTTTTAAAACCGTTCTTACGCCTGAATTATTTCAGCAGAGCGAGAATATGAACATCACAGCTGTTGCCAGCGCGACCAGTTATGCGTTTTTATTATTAATTTATTTACCCAGCTACCTAAATTTATCCGGGTACGTTAATCTTAAGTAGGTTAAGCGGCATTTCGGATATAGTACGAGTACCCACACTTCAAGGTTACATTCCGGCTACTGTAGCTTCCGGGTTTTAATTGTAACGATAGTCTCCTTGCTGCCAGTTAGGGCTGAAAGTGTAAGGAACTTAGTAGAGTTGATGGTCTTTCTGATTTCAGCACCTCTACACAGAGACCCGTATGGTTTGGTGGACATGCATTGGACGGATTAGGCAATCCTTTAACATGCAGGACGCGGCATAAAGGGGGATTAATATTATCTAAATGAATATACTCATCTGCTGTTCCAGGAAACAGTGCATTGCTTATGTGTGTGTGTGTGTGTGTGTTTCTCTTTCTAAAACCCGAACTACATATCGGCAGTCCTGTTCATAAGTGAAAGGGGAACGCCGTATTGGGGATGCCCAAGAGCTGTCCAACATCTGCAATCTTACACTACATTTATTGATAGGGTCGATTATAAAACAACTGCAAAGCTTCCTTGGTCTCTCCTCTCTTATCCACGGAACCACAACAAATAGGCTAACCCGGGGTACAATGGAAAAAGTGGTGTCGTCCAAGTCCTGCTGCTATTAATACGCCACTATTCTTAGCTTATTTTAAAGTACTCTCTACTGTCAGCTATACAGCCATTCGGGGTGATATGGACAGAAAAGACAGGTTCCGCCAAACCTCATACAAACCAACACAAAGTACATGTGTATGTACACACAGAGGAGAAATAAATGAATGAGTTTACATAGATTTTTCATGATAGGCCTACATAGGACCAGTACACATGCAGGAAACCTGTGGTTTTTCCATGTAGGACCAGCTATCTTCATTTAGCTTTTTGGCAATAAACGCTTGGACTTCCGGTTAACATTAGGTGGTGTAATACTATGTCTGAAGTACTGGGGCCCGGCATTTTGAGGAATCTTGCATCTTCTTAGATTAGAAGTACGAAGTTTAAAATCTGACAGGCACCTTAATATCTTTTTTACCTTAGTTGATGGTTATTTTGGGGTGGGTGGTAACAGTGGATCAGTAGGGGATTACTTTCAGAGGGTGTCAAATGGGGGATTTTTAAATCATCTTGATGTGAAAAGAAGGATCTGGCAACCCCGCAGGCTGACACTGTGAGAGGTGGATATGCATAGGCCTACATGCTTCTAATCTGCCTCATCAAACTAAATGTATACAGTATGCTGACACATGGGATTTTTAGTCTCATGTGTTTGTTTTTCACAAAGACTTTGTTTTGAATGAAATTAGGCCCCTCAAACACGATGCAAAGTGGACGCCTTTCAGACACCTTGGTGAGCTTCGTTTATTAGCAAACTGAGGTTTTAGAAATTAAGGTAATATCACTTTGGCAGACCAGCTTGTCAGATTTTAACGTGCTGTCCAGATGTTGCAGAAAACATAAAAGTCATGTTGTGACTTGCTTTGTGTCTCGTTTGTACCAAAAAGGCATACCTGTAACTTATTTGCGAAATGAATGACACGTAAATCGTGTTTTCCGGTATTAATATTTTATAATACCGTTATTATTACGTCACTACTTCCAACCACTTATCCGGGACAGTGTCACTATTTTACTTGTTTCCTTTAGTCAACCCGCAGAAGAGTTTATTCAAAGCAATTTACTAGATTAAAGTTTTCCTGTGCCTGTATTCGCGGTAACCACCAATTTTACTCTGCTGTGGACAAACAAGTCATCCATCAGCGTGACCTCCTCTCAGGCGTGTGTTGTCTTTCAAAATGCCGGTAGAGGGCCCCCATTACCTATTTTACACACCGATACATAATCTGAATGAAGGATGAAAAATCCCCTTATCACCCACCGGAATTTAATCACATTATATAACGACAATTTGCCTTGTCCTCCCCACACAATCCATAAGGGACCCCCATAAGAAGAAAACTCATACTGTACTGGTTTATGTGACAACCCCCCCCCCTAAAAAAAAGTAATTAGTCACTTGAAATTCATCACTTTTCGTGCGCGTGTTGTAGTTTTCAGCTTCAATTGGTTAAGAGCTTTTAATGGACACTAAACTGCTGTGTTATAAATTTAACTTTATTACATTCACGATTAATTTACTTTGCGTAATGACCGCGAACCGAGAAGTTTCTATTCTGGCTAAACAAAAGCAGATCATGAAACAGGTATAAGAACAGTGTGTCGGGATTAAAAAACTCGTTTGTAACTTAGGGATCAATACAAATCACGTTTGTATCGATGGCAGTGTGAAATTTTAACTACCGCCTCCCCCTGGCTTCTGAAATGACATTTCGGTATTTTGTGCTTTTGCAGAGAATTAGGCCTTTTTAGTACCGATCTGATTTCAGAGAGGACAGTGAGTTTTTCGAGTTTAATATAAAGATTTATGGATTAGTTTATAAGTAAAACAAAGCGTTGAGACGCCATTGCACTTTATTTCAAATGTTACCTAAAACTGTCAAACATCGCTGGAACTGGCTCAGTTTCCAAAACTCTTGTTGATAACGTATTAACAGGATCTGTGAGAAATGCGTATATTTTCAATAGTCTTCCAGTACAATTTTTAAATGTAATATAGGCCTATTGCAGAAATTTGAACGACCGCTCAATGACTAAAATGCACAAAAACTGAAACCACGTTATGCTTCGGGTGTAGAGATTACGTGTCACGCAGCCACACTCTGCCCTACACAATTCAAAGTGTGTAATGTGAGAAATTATGGAAGTGGTTGGTATCGATTCCCTGCCATTATTATTAATAGGGATCATTGAACTTGTACTTACTCTTGCGATGTTACAAAATCAAAATTTACGACTCTAGCATTCCTTAAATCATTTTTTCTGTTTTTCAGTATGCCGTAGTCAGAATTTAATCTATTGTGGAGATGGGTGGAGATTTAATCTGTTATTTGTCTCATTACAAAAGTAATCTACCGTGAAAAAATTCTGAAGGCAAACTTCTCGAAAGGTGATTCTTTTAACTTAACGGCGTCCCTTTAAATGGTTTGTTACGCGATTATTAGCTAAATAACCAGTGTTTGTGCCATGATTTCATTATCTTAAAGGTCGTTGTACTTTTTTTCCTCCCACATGCTTCATGTACCTCAATTGCCGTATTGGGCTCGGAGCTCGGAGTTTTATTACCAAATAAATACTTCAGAGACATTTATAGCCGTGCTTTCTATAAGGCTTGAGAGAGTGGCATTAAACGACGGGGAGTAACATTAAGTTACTTAAGTAACACCTTGGATATTCAGCTGTAACATAGTGGGATAGATAAAGGTTCTAACAGACTTGGATACACTCAGCTCTTGCAGCAGCTTGCTGTAGGCCCACGTTTTCCCGTGACCTTGCGCTTCCACTTCTGACGCCATTCTACTATGTGGTATTCCAGCTTTCTCTCTGTCTCTTTGGGATGAGCCACGTGTCGCAGACCATCGACGTGCGACCTGCTTCCAGGTCCAAGGTGACACGCAAATATATCTGCTTATACACGGGTGTGGGGTTCTGAGAAACTCGGCAATCCGAAGCTTTCATATAGGTAACATCAGTCACTATCCGCCTGTTTCAGTATCTGCGCGAGGCGAGCGTGATCTGGGGAACCTTCCCCCGGAAGACGCACCGCACCGTACACCCACAGGCTCCATCCCGTCTTAGGTTACTCACTCACAAGCGCTTCCACCTTCTCCGCTCCAACCAGCCGTCGGTTCACCTGAGGTGTGGGAGGGGACCGGAACACCTGCGGGAAAGTGGGAGAGATCATGCAAATTCTGCGCTGGTGGATCCGAGGAAGGATTCAAACCCGCAGCCTCTGAAAAGAGAGCTCTGCTGAGTCATTCTGCTGTCCTATTAGTATTTAAAAAAAGCATTATTAGCGATAACAGTGGTATGAGCGCTATGGAAATGTTATAGAATTTAATGTAACGTTTTAAACGTAATAAATGTGATGTGTTGCATTATTAATTAGTGATTCTATAAGTCTCGATACTGGAGAGATAGTTTCAAAGATGTCACTTTGAATTTATAAATATTCAGTAAGTCCTGCCAGTAAAGTAAAATGTTAATTTCTTGGTTGTATTTATGCAAGAAAAGTTTCTGTACGGAAGGGTTTATTATCCGACATGGATTTTAAGAGTACCTCACTAATGGTGTTGCTAGGTAACCAGCTGCCTGCTTGGTTGAACTAGCTAAAGCGATCTTACACATTTCGACTTCCAAAAACACAAAATTGTAGTTTTGTGCGTATGTGTGTGTTTTTCTTTTTTTGTATTTTCGTTTTATATAGTTTATCATCTTCTGCTCTCTGGCGTATGAGTAGACAAATGCCACATTTGTCTACCGAGATTTCTTAAGAATCTCGATAAATAGGCTTTATAATTTTTGGAATACATTTTACACGAGATGCATGCATGCTTGTTCGCAGTTGTGCTTCGGGCTGAATGATCGTTTTTAACATTCCATCCCCACTCTCCATTGCATGACATTGTATCTTACAAACGGTATTTCTGAGGCTCAAACCCTGAGCTCCCACACTTAAGCGACAGCGGTCTCTTCAGTGCCTGTCGAAATGAAGGGCGCAGACGGGGAGACACGCTTACTGGGCGGCTGCCCGCCACTAGGGTTGCCATGTGTAGGTGGTTATCCCACTTCTGACACGGATGTAGCAACTGTGCCAGGGGCAGACCGTGCTATGAGTCACTCTGCAGTCCCCCCTGCTGACGGCAAGTGCGTCATCGATAGGAAGGCTATAGGATCACTACAAGCGTTTTTATTAAGCCACATACATAAGCGTTTAATCTTAGATTTTTGTCGAAAATTCACATATATAAATTGTTCACGTTGCGTGATTAGTATTAATAGTTTTGCCGTCAGATCCATCAGATATTTGGTTGTGATTTGCCTCCTAATGAGAAAGAAAGTAGCATTAAGTAGTACTTTATCTTATTGAGGAAGGGTTCGTGTTTGCGTTCATGGACCTCTTCAGTCCCTGACGTATGTCAATAAAGATCATGAACATTAGGCCTACTGTTGTTTCTGCTCAGTATGACATTTTTAAATAGCATCTCCGTTTTCCTATAAGCCGCCGGACTGCGATGAGAAGTCCCCGCCACGGATCACGCGTGTAGTGCGAAACGGGCAGCAGCGGAGCTGGAAAACCACTCATTAAAAAGCATGGCCGCGGTACCGTAAGGGTTCCGTAATGATTTGAAATGGGCCACTAATTGAGAGTGCGTATTTATACGACGGCTGACGGATTGAGTTCAGCCCATTTTCTTTTTTAAGAAGGATCCAGTACAGGGGCTGTGCCTGCTGCTGCCTGTAATACAAGGTGCCTCTAGTATATTCAGCTGACTGTTAAACGTGGACCGATGTTATTTGTTGTAGGGTAGCTGCTCCGGGATACGGTTCATCCGATTCTCCCAGGCTGAGGAATGTACAAATTGTATTCCTTTGGCAAGGTAGCAAGTGTCAGTATTCCGGATAAAACCTTATTGCCCGTTTCCCCTCAGATCCATCGAGATATTTGGTTGTGAATAACGCACAGATTTCCGTCCGAATAAGAAAAAAATATTTAGAAACTGATTAAAACTTTTTTTTTTCTCCTTTCAATGCAAATGCATTTTTGGCGATTCTGTATCATGGTTCACTTTAAGGGGCTTGTAGGGATTTCAAATGTTATCAGATTTGGGTGACACATTGAATGTGTCCATGATGGTCCCGCAGCAGCAGATTCATTAGGGGGCGGTTAGCGGAACTGCACCTGTACCTTTAAGCGGGGGAGGGGGCTTAACCTGACCCGTTTCAGTATTGATATGCAGTTCACAAAAGTTGAATAAGACTAAATCTTGCTTAAGTTGTTCTCGAAAAGAAACCCGAATTTGACTTGATTACTGCTTTACATTTTCACAGCTGCGATGAATAAGTGGGAAAATTATTTAAAATAATTATTTCAGCTTTATACATACCATTGTAAAATTCCATGTAAAATTGGGGTTATAATTAGTAATGGCCAGGGGCGAGGATAGAAATCCTTTATCCCCCACCCCCAGACAGCTGGAATGTTACAATGCCCTTGTCCACGTCTTGCCCCCTGAATCATTAAGGGTTTCCATCCCATTTACCTCCCCCCCCGTACCTCTTTGGTAACAGCTACAGATTTTAACCTTCAAACTTCGTGATCCTGATCGCGATAGGTGGTTGATAGATGAATGGATGACAATACACACGCGTGACATATGGTTTGACCACTGCTTATCAGTAATACTGTTTCTTCCAACCTCGGCTGGGAATTCCCATCCCGGTGACCCGAATATCAGGCCACGGGCGAATAAACAAAATGGGATGGAGGCTCCCGCTGGTTTTCCGCATGGTGAGCTTGTAACACGATCTCAGATGGGTCAAAGTCCTCCAGATCATTATTATTTACTGCATATATAGGGGTATATAATTATTGTGTTCACACCGGGCGCTCGCGTTACCACCTTTCCGGGGTGTCCTGTTCAATCAGACACTCTCTATCTCTGCGTGTATCTGGCTTCCTATGCGTCGAGGCGATAATGAGAGCAGTCAATGAAGTGGCGCTTGAGAGTCAATACGCCTCTCTCTACACAGGAACCTTCCGGATCGGTTTCTTAATAACACACAATGCAATGTGTATTTTCACAGATTCTTGAAAGCAGTAAGTTTCCAGTAGATGTCGTCAGGACATAAGGCTGTTAAACTGGTTACCCCGACTTGCCTAATAACTTATTTAATGAATCCGGTGCCATGCGCACGCGGTTTAAATTTAGTTTCATTGCTTGAGCGAGATGTTTACGCCTCTGGTTTGTTCCCGTTATGATATTATAGCTTCTATAAAGGCAGGGAAGTCAAGGTAAAACCACACTGCACTTTTATTATATCCCTGCTACTTGTTTTTAATGATATTGTCATCCCTTTATTGTTTTTTTTTGTTTGTTTGTTTGCATTGAAGCGCGTGCCCGAGAGGGAGCGCTTCCAGGCCAGTGGGTGGATTGGAGCTAGATGCGCTCTCCTCCAAGATGGAGAAGACAAGGTTGGGGGTGTGTGTAACCTTTCTCCCCCCTCCAGAGCTGGCAGCCGAGTGTCATAAGCGACATTTTGCTTGGATTAACTGGCCGTTCAAAATTGGATGAAAATTGAGGAAAAGTGTGTGTTTTGAATAATGAATTTGCAGAATATAGGAGTCTCCTTTACTGGTGAGTTTTTTTGGCTGGAACTTTCAATATGGGATGGCGTAGTGGCTCGCTGTTTCCTCATACCTCCAGAGTGTGGGGTTCGAATCCCACCTCTATTCTGTTTGGAGTTTGCATGTCCCCCCTTGTGTTTAATGTGTTTTTCCTCAGCTACTTGTTTCTCTTTGCACAACGGACTGGCATCCTGTACCGTAGCCTGGGGCCCTCTGTTGGTTGTGGTAGACTTCAGTCCCCCCCCCCCCCCCCCCGACCAAGATAAATAGTTGTGAAATACATGAAATTTCCCACATTTTTAACAGTGTGCAGAGAATAAAATGCTAGTGGCTGCAAAAATCCTCTGTGTGCTACAGTCAACTGGGTGAAGTCATCCGATTCCAGTCACTTCTGGATTGTAAACACATTCACATAGAAATATGTCCTTAGCCAAGCCACTGACAATGAAGCTAATAAGTCATGTGACTCAAAAGAAGCCAGAGATTGGTGGTAAACCCCTCTTACATGATTTAAATATTCTCTATGCTCCAACTGCTTGTCCCATACAGGATTGGGGTGATCCTGGTGACCATACTGGGCAGCCCAGGGTACAGGGCAGGTAACACCCTGGACGAAAACACTGAAACTGTTACATATCTTCGGGGTGTTATCGTCGGACGTCTGAACATTCCATAATGAATATAATGTTTCATTCTGTGGAGTAACAGCAATAAGGATGGAGCATATACTCCTCTGTCTTTGAATTTATGGCTTTTGCATCTCCGTGCCAAACGTTCACAGCTATTAATTATTAGGCTTCCCAGAAGACGGATAACAGCGTAGTAGCGTCTGCTCCTGCTGACCTGCAGGTGCTAGAGGTGTATCTCACTTGAGATTAAGCTAAGCTGCTTTAGCGCGTCGTCACTCAGCTTGGTACTGATCTGCAGGGAATTCTGTCGCACACTGCTGATCTGTGGCCAGAACCTTTGTTTTATAATTCACCTGCTTATGTCATCATGAGATGTATTTTAGGTATATTTTTGGCCTGAAGTTGCGCAAACGGTCAATATTGCTCAGATCTTGATACAAAACAACTGCCTGCTATGGTTTGAGGCATTAAAACTTTGACATCCTTATGCCATGTTATTCACGTGTTCGCTTCTGCAGATCCTCATGTCTGCTCTTGTGAAGAGCGGCATGGCCAGAAACGATGTGTTTGTTCGATGTTACTCACTTAGTGACTTGAGATTGATGACTAGCTTTGGCTCATGGGAGTTTCTCACACATAAATGTTCTGCTGGCAGAAGGAAAAATGATTGGTTCAGGGAGATAACCAATCAGATTGGAGAGGAGGTGGGTCCAAGCAACTAAAGGAGGCGGGACCAACCAATCAGATGTCAGGCAGGGTTGTCCATGATGGGGAAGCCAGCAAGTAAAGGAGAAGGTGCGTGGGTTTTATAAAGTGAGCTCTCAGTGGATGTCAATACATGTAAAGCTTCAGGTCCTGGAAGTCATAAACCATGGACATGTTCTTTGACAGCTAGACGTCAAAGTTTATAAGCAAGACTCGACCCAGATCTCAGATCACGTGTGTAGCTGGTGGGATGAGCGGGGGGGGAGGGCTATGGATGGGGTTTAGAGGCATCATTGTGAGGAAAATCAGTGTGTTGATAGTTTAAGCCCCTTTAGTACGAGAAACCCCTAACTCTTCATCCGCCCTCCTCTTCCTCAGTGCAGTGTCTGGAGATGACGACCAAGAGGAAGATCATTGGCCGCCTGGTGCCGTGCCGGTGTTTTCGGGGGGAGGAGCAGGAGGTGATCTCCGTGCTGGACTACTCCCACTGCAGCCTGCAGCAGGTGCCCAAGGAGATCTTCAGCTTCGAGCGAACGCTGGAGGAGCTCTACCTGGATGCCAACCAGATAGAGGAGCTGCCCAAGGTGGGCCAGATGTTGCTGACAGGGGTGGGCTGGACATGTGGAGTGGGAGAGTCCATTCTGATATTTTTTTACCTCTGGAAAACCAGCAGGTGCCACAGCGGTTAAGGAACACATCCTGATTTTCCCAAGTTCAATGCATCCCTGGGTCAAAAAGAGATGGGCTCACCTTTCATTCCTTAACCAATAACATTAATTAAAAGTAAGGTGCACAGATTTGTGAAGTACCCGTTTAGGCTTTTTGTTAAGATACAAAACATAGGAACATGCTTATCTGCAAAGGCTGTAGGGAAGAATGTAAGGGTGCATGTAATGTAAGGTGCATATTTATTTTGTGATGATGATAATAATAATAAGCTGGGGGTTAAGGACCTTGCTCAAGGCCCACAGATATGTGGTTATTCTTCTGAGGCCATGCTTGAAACAGTGACCTTCTGATCACAGGCATCGAGGCTTAGCCCGCTGAGCCACATACAACCTCCTATTGGATAGTTGGAAGCCTTGAGCTTGAAAATGAAAAATTTTGTGATGTCATGCAGTGAAGACTATGATTGGTTAAAGAAGTGAAATGCAAGCCTCTCCCTTGTTGATCCAGGGACAGGTTGAACTCGGGAAAATCAGGATGTCTCTTAAGGCAGCGTTCCCCAACCCGGTCCTGGGGACCCCCCAGACAGGGAGGGGTCAAAGAAGTGTCCTGTCTGGGGGTCCTGAGGACTGGGTTGACAAACACTGGCACTAGACCTGAGACCAAAGTATCATCAATTCTGAGCAGAGGGACCACGGGAGGTTCTGCTGCATGGAGTTTGCAGGTTTTTTCACGGTTCCTGGGCTTTCCTTGGTTCTTCGACAGTTTCTGAGTTTTCTCATGGTGCTCGACTTTCCTCCCACCATCCAATGGCACGTGGTCTGAGTCGATAGACACCTCGCGACCGCCCGCGCCTGCGAGACTGGCTGTGAGTCTGGTTGTTCCGGAATGCTCCGGGATCTCGGCCAAGGTGCCATCCCAAGGCTGCTGGCACCGGCCCCGCCCCATCATGACCGCTCGTGGATAAAACGTTCGGTGACAGCGAGAGGGCGAAATATCTAGCTGTGCATCAGCGATTCGGTGGAAACCTCACAGTAACTATGTATCCTGTGGTCTGAAGCTGTGTACAGACTGGGCAGGATGGTCTACAAAAAGTCCAAACTAATCGAGTATTCAGCAGCTCAAGAAATTTGCCAGATATGATTCTTTTTTACCCAGTTGACTAGTTTACACTTTCTGGTTGTACCAAACCGCCTGTTTAGTTGAATACTAGGTTTAAACTAACTAAATATGTTTGATTCGTATGAGTAGTATATGAGTAGTTTTGATTTTAAATTTTTTTGTAAAAACTGTATTGATTCAAGTATGAGTAGCATTAAGATGACAGGCTGTATAAGCTTAAAGATGCGGCAGAAGCCTGCCTGCCAGTGCTCACTCCATACGTCCATGTTTCCTTCGGAGATGTTTCAATCCTTCCAGTCGAAGAGCTCAATTAATCTCCCCCTGAAAGGTAATTTTCAGCAGGACTCTCTACTCGGTTGGCGAATGTGTCTATGGGTGTGCGTTTTTTTGTGAGGTGTGATCTCACACCTGCTCCCCGGTTTGGGATTGCAGAAATCATCGGCCTTCACACAGAGGCAGCCGAAACTTGTGTTTCTGTTGCGAAAACTTGATGGAGATGCGATCGTCGTTTTCAGACGCCCTCTAAATCTTCTCCCCTTACCACTGTGTCTCAGCAACTGTTCAGCTGTCAAGCTCTGAAGAAGCTGAGCCTTCCTGACAATGACCTCACCACCCTGCCGACCACCATAGCGAGCCTCGTCAACCTGAAGGAGCTGGACATCAGTAAAAACGGTACAGGGGTCCGCGATCACAGTCCCAAATGCCCTCCCAAATGCATTTAAACAGAATTACATAACAGAAAACCGAATAAACAATCTTTTACAAGGGCGGGGGGATATATTACAGCATCGAGCTGTCGTTTTCAATGCACACCTCGCTTTTTCAATAAGTTTGAGCTGGGGCAGTTTTTGGGAAAGTACGAATCACACCTACAGCTACAGCTGTGTAACATTGAGGTCTTATTTTTTTCAGGCATTCAAGAGTTCCCTGATAACATTAAGGGCTGTAAATGTCTGACGATCGTGGAAGCAAGCGTCAATCCCATTTCCAAGTAAGCTGTGGTTCACGGCGAAGAAGGATAACATCCCAGTTCAAGACACCATGGGGTGGGGGGGGGGGCATCATAGGGCGGTGGGGGCGGTGGGGGGGAACCATGGGGGGGGGGGTTTTACCATGGTCCAACTAACATTGATTATTTACAATAGATTCATATAAAATAGGGAAACGAAATAAAATAAATGGGAATAGTCCTCTGTAGAGAACAATAGTGTTAGTAGTACTGTGCTCTATAGACAAGTGTTTCTCAGATTGGTGCTCGTGATCCCACAGGTGGTTCATGTTTTTGCTCCCTGTCTGGGGCTCCCCAAGGACCAGTTTGAGAGACTTGGTCTATAGTGTCATTCAGTATGACAAGGCCTGACTCGCTGAGGCTGGTCCTCGTTATAGAGGCAGGCCTTTCCGTTTAGCCTCCGTACTCTGAGCGTTGGGGCTCCAGCCTCCAGGGGGATCTCACCTCCTACTGTGTCCTTCAGGCTCCCGGACGGATTCACGCACCTCCTGAATCTCTCCCAGCTGTTTTTAAACGACGCCTTCCTGGAGCAGCTTCCTGCCAACTTCGGGAAGTGAGTATGACATGTTTCTGGCCATATGCTCACAGACACAAAACTACAAATATCAAGCAGCCAGTAAATAAAACAAAATAGTAGTCGCTGACATGTTTGTAGTTCTTTTACCCAATATACTTTCACTGTCTTTCAGACTATCCAAATTGCGCATTCTGGAGCTTCGAGAAAATCACCTGAAAACGTTGCCAAAGTGAGCATGTTAGCATGTTCCTTGCATCTCTTTAATAAACATTGCTGTGGCAATTATGCTAATGTCCTACAACGAGTATAATGTATAACTTTTTATGTATAATTAGTTTAAATCATAATAATTCACGATTTGCTAAGGGATTCTGATTACTCCTTTTGCACTATGTTACAATATGGCATTGTTAGATTTTATGACATCACTGTGGTGGTGGTGGGAATCCCTGCTTCACCTGAATGTCCCGGGAAGTCTATTGGTTAAAAGATCCAACATATCAATCAGGTCTTCACCCCGCCTATTTCTTGTCTCACCTGCTAGGGTGGCAATCCTACTTGGGGAGAAGCCCCCCCCCCCCCAAGGATCAAATCCCTCAATCGGCCTCGCTTAAAATTAAGTCAAATTGAACTGAGTTGTTTATAAATATTCCAGCACCTCCCTAGCTGAAAGTAATTGCCGGGTTTGCGGGTAAATCCTGATGGTGCCGCTGATTCCTTGGCAGGTCACTGCAGAAGCTCTCCCAGCTGGAGAGACTGGACCTGGGCAGCAATGAATTCAACGAGCTGGTAAGACTGGAGGCCGCGCCACATCCGTCCCCATCAGGGGATCCTGGGCATCGTTCACCCACAGCCGCTGCTCGCTTCAGCTCTCCTGCCAGGGACCCTTTGCTCGTTATTTCAGATTCACTGCCTCGTTTCGTAAAGATTTATAACCTGCCTTCGGTGCTTAAACACTTCCTGAAAATACAGAGCCGGGCCCCACGTTGGCGGCTACCGCTGGAGAGATGGATGGATATGACTGAATGGGGGAAATCACGGAGAGATTGAAATCATACTTCTTTTTGTTACAGTCCTTTGCTTTCAGCTAAAAATATCCCTAACGTGATTTTCTATCTCAAGTTTGGCGTTTCCCCCACGCGGGGCCCGTTTCCGAGTGCGCATCAGGCGGAGCGTGGCCGGAATTTTACGGAAAGTTTCGTAATCGAAAAGTGCAGAAGATGCATATGGTTGTGGAGATAGCGCAGTTAGCGTCCAGCGTTGACGGTGGAACGGCACGCCGCCGCAGCCAGACTCACTTTAGCGCAGGATGCCGAGGAAAAAAATAGCCAAGTCTTAAATCTCTTTTCAGAAAGAAGACAAGGCATAGCGTAGGTGCCAAGGATGGAAAGTAGCTGGCGAAGAGAATGAAGCATGTTTCAGCCCCATGTTTGATCAGCGGGTGTTTGTTCCAGTTAATATTAAGTTCTCCTAAAGAACTCTCCTTTATCGTTGTTACATGTTCATTCTGAGGTGATTGGTTGGCTCAGACACCATCATATATGAGATGTTTGACCCTGGAGGACATTGTTGTATTCAATAAAAAAAAAACACTGTGTTTTACCTGTTTTACTTTCCAGTTCCTGAAGAGGGCGCTAGCTGAGCTGGGTGTGGTTGATTGGTTGTCCACTATCTTCATCCACATTAAAGTCTGCTTTTACTAGTCCTGTTGATAGTCTTTTAAATCATGTACCGTTTCAGGGTCAGATGAAACTGGTCAGCTGTAATTATGGGATACTCTCTGTACTCGACCAGCTGTCCTCGTTATAGACTGACTAGCTGTAGCCAACGATGTGTCCGTGTGGGCGGGACCTCCGAGATGCGGAGCTCATCAGACTTGTGAGGGCGATAGCGAGAAGCTCGTTAAGCTGCGGCAGACGTGGTCCTCATCATTTTGGGAAGGATGGATTTCTGGCTCATGACACGGGGTGGCGTGAGTGACTCAGGTGTCATTGTGTTTTTCAGCCGGAGGTCCTGGAGCAGATACACAACCTGAAGGAGCTTTGGATGGACAACAACTCCCTCCAGACGCTACCTGGGGTAGGAAGATCAAGGCTTAGATCATTACCTCAAGACCCACCAGTGACACAACTCTGTTTTTAAGGATGCGCATGAATTCCAGCAGTTTCAATATTTGTGCAGAACAATCTGTGGGTCTGTGACGTTCAGCCCCTGACTGCTCTTTTCTCCCCTTTGTTTTCTTCTGGCATCCATCACTTCCACACCCTTCTGTTTGGCAAACATTCGCTGCCATCGCGTGTGTCGTCCGCCTTGTTATCATAGTATATAGGGAAGCTGAAGCATTTGACGTACCTGGATCTGTCCAAGAACAGGCTCGAGTCCCTGGACGCGAGTATTTCTGGATGTGAGGCGCTAGAAGACCTCCTTCTGTCCTCAAACATGCTTCAGCAACTGCCTGACTCCATTGGTGAGCCTAGGAGGGAGCTGTGCTGCCCCCTAGGGGTCATTTAAAAAAAAACACAATTCATTTGACGAAAAGCACTCGGCTCTGGTCCTGATCCACAGGACGACCTGCGGGTTTGGCAAAATCCTTTTTAATTCACCCAACTGGTTCTCTGAACACCATGGAACAGTGGGGTGCAATTTAACAGGACAGTGTGGGTAATTTCCAGGCACTGCAATTTTGCATTTTTTGCTGTATTTAGTAGGAGTGATTATGTAAATGAACACAGGTGCAACCTGATTTGAATATCACTGGAGCAACTCAAGATATGTGTTCCATCTATGATTTCCACAGCACAGCATGCTGTGCTCAGTGACAGTCTGGTTAAAGCATGTTCATTTATGATCAAAAAAGGTTGGATTGCAAATATAATGCAGAATTCGAGTTATTGTTCATTACGGTGTAATATGGAACAAGTTTGGTATCATGTGAACCATGACATCAATAAGCTGCTTGCATAAAATTGTATAAGTGCAGTAATTGGTCAAAATTAGAAAAGACAATTATATAGGCCTAATAAGGGTTACAAATAAACATGAATGTCAAAATGTTAATTGCTGCATATAACTCAGAGATAAGTAAACAATGAACATTCAGACACCTGTGGAGTCTTATCTAATGGGAGTGAAAAATGAAATTACTAACGATGAGTAACTAAAATAAGCCTGGAGATTTCACATGCTTTTAACTGAAATCGATTTTCATTGCTGTTAAACATTTTTGATTAAAAATACATTTAAATTATTTTAAACACTGGGTCCTTTACCAGATAGAAACGTACTTATATACATCGTCACAGCAATATGCACATGCTGAATGCCAGTTGTATCGTGTTTGTGTCTCCATTAATTGTTAAATAAAAAATCCCCGCTGTGAAGTTACTGAATACACCTAAAATACTTTTTAAAATATTAAATCTGAGATTGAAAACTATTTTCAATCAAGTTCCTGTCAAAAATAAATATGCACATTCATTAATTTAATAAGCTTCTCTTTTTTTGCAGGAATGCTGAAAAAAATGTCAACTCTTAAAGTAGATGAAAACCAGATCTCCTCACTGCCCAACACTATCGGGAGGTCAGTTCTTCAAGAAATGCATTCACACTTTATGGATTCATGATAAGTTGCTGTAGTCAAAATGTTTGTACGGACGCTGACAGATACTGATGGTAATTCATTGTTGACTATAGAAGTAAATGGCCCCCAGAAGTTCAATGTGTTTGCGGATAATATATATAAATATCTTATTTCATGACATTAATATTTGCGGATTTGTGTTTAACATCGCAAACACATATTCTGAAAGATGGATGTGTTGTAAAGTCTATTCAAAAGCCATTAGTGCTCATTCTCCCTCTGTTTTGATCGTTAGATTTTATGGACTTGCAGCTTAATTGATCCCATTACTGTGCCCATAGAATTAAATGAAAAAAGTGGGGAATACCATGCTTTACAAAAGCATTCATAATGTTGGAGCCACACTTGGGGGGGGGAATAACAATGAAGAACCAGAGAGAGCTACGTGTGAAATGTCTTTCTGTTATTTGTCCTTGTCCAGTTTGTAGGTATATGCGAGGTTATGGAAGAGCAGAAGACGTTCACTATAAAGACACCAAAACACTTCAGAAGATGCGGCTTTTGATTTCTTTCGTTTCCTATTATTCCTTTACTTCCATAGTTTATCGCAGCTGGAAGAGTTTGACTGTAGCTGCAATGAACTGCAGTGTCTCCCTCCTGCTATCGGCTACCTGCACAACCTGCGGACGTTTGCAGCAGATGAGAACTTCCTCCTGGACCTGCCTAGAGAGGTGAAGGGGGAAAATACAATCTAATTCTTCCTATAATATGAACCTTCGGCTGTTGAAAAAGGAGCTCAGTTCGGCGATCGTCTTCCTTTGTTGATGAGGAAGAGGCGCTATAGCGTGAACCAAGTCTGATACTGGCATTTTGCTAAAAAAAAAATGTTCAGCATCTTGCCAGCCTTCCTGTGCAGACTAGGGGATGTTCAGTCAGTGGTGACGATGGGATCTATGTCTGATCATGACAGCTTCCACTGTGCCTGGCTACACAGCCCCAGAAGCTCCATATGTAAATTACCGCATGCCCATTTTCGCTTTTTGTTAATCGATCTGACGTTCTACCGTGAAGTACCTATTCCTAAAGCATGACAATAAAAGTTATATAAACAACAATTACTGTTTGTTAGAAAAAATAAACTACTGATACGTATGGGAGCATAGGCCTACCTGTTTTTCTTTTTAGCAGTCTCATCAAAACATAAAATGACTCATTGTTCCAGATATAATTGAGTCATTGTTTTGCATAAGTATACAGACCTTGGTGGCTTATACTGTAATTAGGTCAAAGACCGTCCTTTGATGTTCTGTTCTGGTGAAATCAGACATCGGAAATGAAAGGCGCTCTTGTGTCTCTGCAGATCGGGAACTGTAGGAACGTGACCGTCATGTCGCTACGCTCCAACAAGCTGGAGTTCCTTCCCGATGAGATCGGACAGATGACCAAGCTGAGGGTCCTCAACCTGAGCGACAACAGGTGGCTACATGAGCTTTTGCTCTCGCTGAACACGTGTCTCCAAGCAGAAGGACATATCCGTCAGCTGATCTATGTGCCGATAGCACCGTTAAGCCACATCAGTAAGCTTAGGCTTATGAAATGGAGCCTGTAATGTTTGTGACTGTCCTCCTCTTCTCCGAATCAGGTTAAGGAACTTGCCTTTGACGTTCACCAAGCTAAAAGACCTGGCAGCCCTCTGGTTATCAGACAATCAGGTGAATGTCAACCCGTTTACAGTCTGTAGACCAGTGAAAGCTGTGAAACCAAACACCCAATTGGATTGAGGGGAGACCCGGGTCAGTTGTTGAACAGGGTCAATTACAGTAATCTTCCGGCGTAACGCAAATTCCTCCAAATACCATTGATGTTCTAGTACAGGGGTGCCCAACCTTTGATACAGTGAGAGCTACTTTTACAAAGGAAATACTCTGCCAAGCTAGGAATTCGTGATGGTAAATTTGGCCAACCAGAATTGAGGGGTCCCAATGAAATATACCATTATCCATTAATCATTTCGAGATCAACCTCAAAACACACTACGATCGACGGGTTGAGCATCCCTGTTCTAGTACAATTTTTTTCTTTGCAAGGAAAAAGAATGTTTTTTTTCCTCATTGTGTTGTTTTTCTACATTTTATACAAATTAAATCAATAATTATCCCTGGTCTCCACTACTTTTTCTGAAATGGTGTGAAATATATGCATGGACCATTTTGAGCAATGAGGTCTTATTGTGCAGTTGAAGTAAACCTATAAACAAAGAGATTTGATTAAAAAAATAGAGTAATGTACCGTCTCTTGTGTAATGCTAATTGCATAGCTGCAGTGCAGAGCTGTTAACGCTGAAATATCAGGAACTAATTTGCTCCTGTAAACAGTCCCTGGGCATTTGTCGGGAATTGTAATTATACAACGTTACTGCTAAGGAGATAAAATAGTGAACACACAGCTTCCTGCTGGGTACTCAGTCAGAGCAAGATTCCTCCCGTTCCACGAGTAAACATGTTACATCTTTATGTACACCTTCTGTAGGTCTGGGATCACACCAATATTGTAACGCCTCTGGGAGGAAGTGATGTAATATAGGAGAGATTTGTGGGTAATGATTATGGTTGTGTGCCCCTGCAGTCCAAGGCCCTTATTCCGTTGCAGTCAGAGGCCAACCCAGAGACCAACCAGAGAGTCCTCACTAACTACATGTTCCCTCAACAGCCACGGCATGAAGAAGGTGGGTTGTGGTGCTGCGGGGGAAATGAGGGGAGTGGGGGGGGTGGAGTGGAGATTTCAGAAGATCTGAGGGAGAGAGTGAGCAGCCCACTTTGGTTCTGTGAGCAAAACTCATCAGGGAACTTGATGTTAGTTGAGGATGGTGAAAAGAGAAGAGGATTTTGAAAACGTATCATTTCATATTTCTGTAGACCTGGAAATATATATAACTTATATATAATTTTCTGCTCAATTTTACGGTTACTTGAAGATACTGGATGCTGAGCGGTGGGTCACATGTCTTTGGATACCCAAGATGAGCTTTGTCAGTGGGTCTGAGCAGAACGTGGTAATGTGGGGCACGGGCATCAGCATGCTCCTCACGCGCTCCTATGCCTCCTGCAGATTACCAGTCTGACACCGACAGCTTCAACCCCACCCTCTGGGAGGAGGAGCGGCAGAAGCGTATGACCGTGGCCTTCGAGTGTGACGACAAGAAGGAGGAAGATGACGGCACTGGGAAAGTCAAGGTTCTGCTGTTTTAATCCAAGTCCAGAACTTATAATCAGTGTCTGTTAGCATCATACTTATGATCGAAATGTAATGTTGGGCCATAGTGTGACTAGTGTAATGTTCCAAATCGTAGTTCGCAGGAAAGTAATGAATGATGCAGTGGATATTTTCCCCACTTATTTCATATTATTTTTCCTACCTTGGATCCATGTACCGAGGAGTTAACCCCACTTACCTGCTCATGTCCCGCAAGGTCGAGATCAATCTGAAGCGCTACCCAACTCCATACCCAGAGGACCTGAAGAACATCGTCAAGTCGGTGCAGAACCTGAGAGGCGGCATGGAGAAATGCCCCCCTGGCATGGTTGTTGCGGAGCACCAGGGCAAGGACAAATATGAGAGAGGGTGGCCAATGGCGATGAAGGAGGGCATTGCCGAGGTAGCTTCTCAGATGGAGGCAACCGCCAAAGGTCTCAATGCAGGGACAGATGCTGTAGGGTATGGCTTCCAGGTGAGAGCTCCTTCTGAGTTGCCTTGGGTCTTACAATTTTCTGTGTATTTATGTGAGTAAATTTCTGGATCTACCAAACCAGTTCTTCCCCATTGTAACAGCTCATGGGTGTTTCACTCATATACAACTGTTCTGAGGGCAAAACGAAAAATGATTGGTTTAGAGAGCTAACCAATCACATTGTAGAAGAGGTGGGTCCAAGCAACTAGATGAGGCGGGACCAGCCAATCAGATGTCTTGGTCCTGCCTCCTCTATTGCTTGGATCCACCTCCTCCACAATCTAACTAGCTCTCTGAACCAATCATTTTTCGTTCTGCCCTCAGAACATTTTTGTGTAACTCCCATGAGATTTGTAACATCATGGACAACTGAAGTCACAGCTGATGCTCCATCTGCTTAGAAACGTGAATCTCACATATAGAAACAAGTAAAATCGTTCTTCTTTTTAGCTGATGCATGTTGTTCCATTAGTACCGTTGCTAGCTTGCCGTAATTTGTGGTGACTGTTCCTGGAGCATTAAAGATGGAAGTGGGGTGATCGCATGCGTCTTGTGCGCTAGATGGCAGACAGGGACGTCCAAGAATACGTCAAAATCCAGATGATGCAACGGGGAACCAGCCAGAACTCGTCTATCGAGATTCCAAACCACAAGGACAGGGAGGATTTGACAGAGAGCTCTGAGGTAAGGAGCCAGGGTCTGTCTGACTAGGGGGCAAACATGTTAGTTCAGCAGATTGTGAGGAAATTACAACAGTGTACTGCCCCCCCCCACAGGACTCACCCAACGACATCCGTATCTCTGACATGAGATCCACCTCAGCTGAACCGCCAATGTTCAAGACCAAGGTTGTTCTGCTGAACAAAAACAAACCAGGTATGTCTGATGGATCCCTGCTGGGGGGTCTCAGGCCTGACGTGCCTCACGCCTCTGGCTGTTTCTCACGTGATGCCGCTCAGATTCATCCCGTTTTCCGCTCCTTCAGACTCCATTGATGAGCACGGTGCTGAGAAACTGCACGGCCTGAACCCCGGCGGGCCCTCGGCCGCCTACTCTGACTACGTGCCTCCGCAGGCGTCCTCCAATGCCTTGAAAGGAAAGGTTCCCCAACAGCAGGGGGTGCAGACGGGCGAGCCCCCCACCCACTGGACAGAGAGGTGGGAGGCACTCGGGGTTTCCTGTTAATGTAATGCCAAGTCTAATAACGATGTAGCCAAACATCACAGGTGGCCAGTTTTTGTGGGCCGGACTATTGCTTTTGTGGTTGGTGCAGAAGTTTTGTTAGGTGACTGAATTCTATGAATATAGATTAGGTGTTTACTAGAAAGGAATATAACGATACCATCAATTGACTTTGTTCAAAAACTTCGGGGGGGTTCACAAAGGTGGGCCAGAGGCACCAAGGGAACAGGATTGTCAAAAAGGATCTTGTAGTAGAACAAAAGACGGAAATGAGCCTGCAGCCAGTTAGACCCCATGTTCCAGGCAGAGAGGGCCCGCTGTGTGCTGAGGTCCTAGCAGATGTCAGGGCAGGAGCCCGAAAAAAGAGAATAAACAATCCAAGCTGTTCAGGATAGCGAGCACGTCCCACACGCATCTGAACCCCCCCATCCACCCAGCTGGCCGGCTTTTACGCCCAGCAAGCTGGATCGGTCTTACTGGGTCCAAGTAAGTCCTTCCTGAGGCCACTACCACACAAAATGTTTACGCTGCGTTAGATTTTATGCCATAAATTAACCCTAACCCCTTTAATTTCTTAACACAATCATAAACACACTTATGAGTGCTTCATGATTTATTGATGAAAATGACCGCCCCCCCCTTGCTGTGGGAGGAATGTGTTTTATCGATCTTTTTTGAACTGCCACTGTGAGTCAAACCACTGCGGGCTGTAGGGGGGATTAGCTGCTCCCAAATAAAAGTGAAAGAAGGAATCATGTGTGAAGAAAATTGAATACAACACAGGTATAAACATCTGTCTATCAGCTGCAATAAGCTACCTGTTCTGACTTTGATAAGACGCTTTCCTGATCTCCCTACAGACTAGCCCAATCTATCCCCACCAGCATGGAGAAACAGTACCTGAACCAGAGGCTGGCCAGCAACATGCAGCAGCACGCAGAGAGACGTCCCCTCAGCACCAATTTCAACAACTGGGGCGATGGCACCCAGTATGACAACACAGATTTTGGAAGCATGGAGCCATCTGTGGAGACTTCTGGAGCAAAAGCGGCACTGGGGCCCCGAAGTGCATTGGCCCAGGGCCGGAGGGCCCTCCTGAGGCAGGACCGTATTGTGGCTGTCTCCCAGGAGACAGAGCAGGCCGCCAAGCCCTTCCACGGGCAGGACACCGAAGTGCCTCCTCCGGCGAACCCGTGGCAGAACTGGACTAGGACGCCCAGCCCACTTGAAGAGAGGACAGCCTTCCATTCCAAGATGGAACTGACCCCCATGAGCAGTCCTAAGCCGAATCACAAAGACTTCCCACAGATGGGAGAGCAACCCGGAACCTTCTCCCCTCCAGGGGCGAGAGGGGCGCCCTTGGACCCCAAGGACACAGTAAGGCAGGCCAATGTTCACGGGCACCCACAAGGCAGCCAGAATCCCCCCAGGAACGTCGTCACTATCAGCAAGAGTGCCGAGAGGCTCTATCCCATGATGAAGGAGGTGAAGGCCAAGTTCAAGAAGTCGCAGAGTACGGACGAGCTGGACATCAGCTCCATCAAGGGGCATGGTGCCGCACTCGACAGCTACGGCTCGGCAATGGAGAACCAGGGCAGCGTGGACAGAGCGGATGTCCCTGTGACATACGAGCACAGTATGTCCCGCAGCCTGTCGGCCCCCATGTTGGATGATGACACCGACGACTTTGGCGGCACGCCGGGTTTCGAGGAGTCCAAAGGCATCGGTCCCAAGAAGGTTTTCCACTTCGACCAAAGCTACAACCCTCAGGGTCCCATGGAGATGATGAATCCCGAAAGGAGGTCTATGCCACCTTTCCCGAGCACGACCATGTACATCAACCAAGCGGGAAAGACCCTCCCCAAGGAGCTGGTGAGCCCCAGGGTGTACAAGGGCTACCAGCCTGCAGAGCAGATGTTTACCTTCTCACCAAATCAGGTCAGCAAGGAGCCAGTCCCTCAGCAGTACTCGGGGCAGAGGTCACGGCCGGGTTGCCTCCGAAGGGCGGATTCCTTGGTTAGCTCCACAGACCTGGCACTCTTCCGTCGCATGGTGGAAGCCCAGGAAATGCAGGCCTGTGGGCGTCCTCACCCAAAGGCTATGCTGGAGCACCAAGCCAGGCTTCCCGTCAAGGGAGAGCCCCAGTTCCACAAGGGTCCCGGAAGGTACGATGGCGAGTATGCATCCTACCAGGAGCCTAAGGCTCCTCCTGTAGGCTACCCAACCAAAAGCCTAGCTCCACGGCGCCCCCTCTCGGCCAGGAGTTACAGCATCGAGAGCTACGGTGCTTCTCAGGCACGGCCAGTGTCGGCAAGGCCAACCATGGCCGCCCTGATGGAAAAGATTCCCACGGATTACAACCTGGCTGCGTGCATGGAGAAGAATGCCGATGGGGGTGATGAGCTTTGGATGGAGCACAACAAGATGCCGCCTGACTGGAGACAGCAGCTGCTGAGGCACATAGATACTAAACGGCCAGACTGGGTAAGTCCAGGACCAGGCCTCTGTCTTAGCAGAGACCAATGGAAAAATATCAAAAATAGATGATGCCTCAAACATATAGACTGATTTGTTTTTCTGAGCCGAATTGGGAAACAAAAAACAGAACTACAGAAATAGCTACATGGGCTATTGCCTAAAACTTCAATTAAATTGACAAAAAAAAACGTGTTACTGCTAACAGTAAACTGTCTGGCATCCCTGGTGTGGTCTTCTGAACAGCGCACAACACTGTGTAATTGAAAACAGCATTATTGCTGAAATTAATGAAATAAGCACCATAGACAGGACAGGCCAACGGGGTCTGGGTCAAAGTGAATTTCCACCACAAAAAATATAATTGATAAATATCAGTAAATCCTTCTTTTCCATTCAACATTTTAAATTCCTTGCTGACTATTTTGTTTTGCAAATTTTAGCAGAAATTAGCAAACGCTCTTCCTTTGCCTGTCTGACAGCAAAGCAATATTCAGGACAACCGCAAGGGGGACCCGTCAGGTGGGGGGCCCTGGGCCCCGTACTCGCTTAGTAGGAGAGATGTACCTCCAGATAACATGAAGAAGGTAAGGAACTCGGGGGTGTTTCCGGGAATGGGAGAGCCCGCAGTACAGGAGGGGGCTCTTGAGCTGCTGTAATTACTGCGTTCCCGGAGCGCTGTGATTTGCCCTTTTTCTAACGAACGCGCGGCCGGAATGTGAAGCGCTCCGCTTCTGACTCATTTGAATTTTTAATCAGGCTGGTTGTTCTCGCGAAAAATGTTAAGGAGAAGCGGCGGATTTTGCCGATGTCCTTCAGAGCATCTCAGGGTGATTATCCTACGGTATGCCTGGTATTTGAAATCTGTGACAGGTTTGCGAAACACATCTTCAGCAGGACAGAAAGCAGCAATGAAGGGGGGGCGGGTGGGTGGTACTGAGAGGCATCCTCCTGGATCAGACTTGAACGAAACGGGTGGGAACCCGAATCCGATGACATCACTGGAACACGGCCGGAACAGAGATCGGAATAAACCGGTTCCTCTATCTCTGAGGTTCCCCTGGCCTTTCCAGCCTGGTTGCATGACCCCAAAAGCAGGATCTGAGCAGATGCGGGTGGCAGATACTGTGTTTAGGAAGCAGAGCTGATGTGCATGGACCATCAGCGCAATTCCCCCCCGAGTGTTTATCATGGAGGGCCATTGAATCACGGTCTTAAAGGAAAATTGCCACCTTGCACCGATTATTATATTTATGAAGGCTGTTGTAACATTTACGGGGCTTTTTAAATATAGTTTTGCCGGTCTTTTAAATGTCAGAGTAGATTACCAACGCCAGTGACTCAGCCTGCATCGGATACCCCAGCAATCCCCCCTCACCGTCGTTCCCCCGCCGCCGCCTCCTTTTTTCTGCGTCAAAAACCGTCGCAATCGCGTTCGTCGCCAGGACGGGTTTGGAAGCATCGGCCTCATATTCCAGCCCAGTACACTTTTCCTCTCCCAGTACACTTTTCCTCTCCCGGTGTTTATTTCTTCGCAGATGAAGCGCTTGTTTCTGATTCTCCTCCTGGAGAGCAGTCTCCCTCCGTATGCCGCCAGCCGCCTGGGCAGGGGCCTGTGTTGCGCCACGCGCGAATGTCACGCACGCGGCTTCTCCCCTTCCTGACTCTCTACCCTCTGTCGTTCCGCCACCTGCAGCCAGGAAGCCACACCCACCAAAACCAGACGATGAATGTGACCTCGGCCACGGCGCACCACCGCCCCCTGCAGGACCAGCTGCACGAAGGTGCCATCAACAAGATCGCCATCCAGCAGTACCAGAACCCCCAGTCCAGACCCATCTCTGCCACATGCCCCCGACCGCAGAGCGCCCACTGCCTCAGCCAGACCAAAGGGCACAAGAACATTGAGGGACACAAGGAGCAGGTGGGGGCATTCGTGTCCCACCGCGATCAGCGTGCCCTGGTGCAGCCGTTCCACCCATCTGTGCAGCCTCAGACCGTCCTCTGGAACTACATCTCCTAATCGCACCCAGCAGAACTTCAGGGCTTTAGGAGAGTTGAACGGCAATGATGCGAATGCAGAACGAATTACAATTTTGTAAAACTTAAAGAGTCTCCGCATTTACTATACCGGCTTTGAGCCCAGCACAAAAACTGAAACAAATCATTTTATATCTTGGAACTGAGGACTGGTTGGAGATGTGTCTCAATTTAATACGTGCTGATTCTAACTTGTACAGCCCCACCTTTCCGTTCTGTCTGTACGTCCACTTTGTCTTTTCCTCTCTCCTGGCCCTTTGCGGCCCAGCGTGTTACCTGCCCTTCTCCCACGCCGTTTTGTATGCACTCAGAGGAATCCTGCCCTCGGTTTCAGTCTCTCAGGGGAGTTTATGTGGACGAGGGAACCCAGTTTGAGCCTTCAGATATGGTAAGATCTCCTCCCATACTGCACTGGGGGTTAGGCCAAGGAAATGGCGTTAATCTTTTTTTTGGGAGGGGGGGTGGGGGCGGTTCGCTGACAAAATTAGAAGATTCTCCCTCACTGGAGTTGTTTACCTCATGGTGAAGTGATCAATGGGATTTTTTTTTTCTACAGTTTACATATAACAGGATATGAAATGGGTTTTCAAGGACATAAAATTGTGTTCGCGTTTGTATAGGCCTATTAATGGACTTGAAAGTTGTTTTTCAGTGCCGTTAAAGATTACAGAAAAACACTGTACCATACGGGGTTTTACACGAGGACTATTGACTCGTATTCATTTTTCTAGAAGAAAACCGGACGGTAAACATTCAAAGTATCCTGACTAAAAAAGTCTAAAAATGGCTTCTTTGAATATTTGTTTCTGGGTTACAGCGTCATGCCCACCCCCAATGTCATTTGTGAAATTATTAAGGTAGTCTTTTACATTACTTACATGCTCGATTCTGTGTCACAGACATGCCCGACTCACCCAAAATAATCTTAGAAAATGGAAATCAATGCCAATCCCACATAAGCCTTAACATTTAACTTGATTTTAGACAAGTTTCGTTTCATTCGTTTTTCTCTCTCCCGTAACACCCACTCTCAAAAGTATCTAAAGATCCCCCCCTAAGAGCGGTCTTCCTGTCTGCGTGTTAGCACCACTTCTCCCCCCAATCCGCGTCTCTTCCTCGGCCGCTCCATGTTGCACCGATCTCCATGTTTTTTTTCCCACCGCAAATGTCTTTTTGCGTCTCTTTTTTGCGCTTTTTGGTGATGAACGGACATCGTCCTTTACGCACAAAAGTGCTGTAATTCAGCTGTGGGATGTCCAGGACACTGTGGACTTGGTGGTGCCGAGGGAGCAGACGGCTCGATTATTTTAATACAGCCTCTTGTGAAGAGGGGATGCTGAAATGTGCTCTTAGAACACGTTTTTATCTAAGAAAATCAACATTTGCCATTTGCTGGACAAGTGACAAATTTTTGTTGACAGAAACGTCAAAAGAAATACTAAAATATTACAAATATACAGGGAAAATGTATGTAAATATGGTGCAATTTTTACCTATAGCCCAAAGCTTTTAATGGGCGTGGATGTTTCTTTTTCTTTTTCTGGACGTCTCATCACTGTGTTTCTCTGCATCTGTTCTTATTTTCTTTGTTTATATCGCCTACATATAGGCCTAATTCATTCTTAAGCAGACCGACCCATTAGTAGTCAACATAAACACTGCCTCAGATTTGTATCTATCATTGAAGAACTGTCTGATAAAGATTGCTATCGTATTCAATATTCAAGAAGAAAATACGGATAGGACACTTTGCCTTGAATTTGTCTCTGTCAAACATTAAGGGAACTGAACCGCAATCGTGGATGCTGTCATTGTTTTCAGCGTAATCTGCAATGATTTTTTTTCCTCACATGAGAGATAATCTCCGAGTCCCAACATGTGAATCTTACGGACACGACAATGCCAAAGCAATATTCTACTCTGTAGCGCCATCCTCCTGTTGTGGAATACTGGTTAATGTGCTCTAGAACCTGCCCTAGAGTGCCATCTACTGGTGGACGTGTGGTCTTGCTCTGGTTTTGTAAGACGTGCAACCAAAGGGAGTACTGCGGCAATAGACGCCTAATATACTTTCCTAAAATACAAGTAATGTGGATGGTGTAGAAAGGGTAGCTGTGTTCACAGGGTATCTTAGTAGGCCAACCCATTTCTTACCAGACAAAACACACTTCGGAAAGTGCATTCGTTTCAGCCCTCTTACATATGGCCGTCATACTGCTTCACCGTAGGGCTACCTGTTCTCGATCTGTGACTTCATTCTTAATATTATCAATGAGAGTCATAAGGGGCCTTCTTATGACTTAAGAAAGTTAACATCTATACAAGAACATAAAACACTGCAATTCCCAATTGGTTAATAACTTTAGTTTATTCTCTAAATTTGGGGATACATGTTGGGATTTCAAACCTTGCATAAGTATTGCAAAGAAGGTTCTTACCTAAAGTAAATGCTAAAACAAAAGCAAATTAACTACTGATAATGACACTGGGTATTCAGTTTTTTGCTTTTTATGACTTTATTGAAAGCCACTCCTGGCGAACCTCTTACGGAGCAGAGATTGTGGTGCGAGCGCGGGATCTGGGCGTGTGAATGGCGTTTTGTTGCCTTCGCGTGCTACCCCCTGTTCTGTGCCACGCTTTTCCATCGCCAAATGTAGCAGTTTCTTTGACTTTTTTTAAGCGGAATATGGCGATCTGAACGTTATACCCTGTTAGAAAACGAGCGAGACCGGAAGACGAAATGGTGAAAAAGTCGCACTTAAGTTCAAACATTGTAACATAAATATATTAAATATAAATGGTATTTTTTATACTAATTGTGTTCAGGTTTTATTTGTAATTTATTACTGTACTTGCTTATAGTGTGAAATTTTATAATAACTGTGTAAGAAATTAATAAAATAATCAGGACAAAAATGTATCAGACCTGTAAGATATATTTCTACAGTACATGTGCATTTGCGTAACACAATTGTGTATATATAAATGTATATGTAAAAAAGATGATCATATTTGTATGTTAGTTATAGCTAACTTGAAAGCCAATATTCTGTACTTTTCAAAGATAATTGATGTAAATGAAAACACATTTAGGAAATCCTTATAGATTGTGAATGTACGAGCTTCTGCAATATGGGAGTATATTGGAATTAACTGCTGCTTAATTTTGTGCAAAAAAAGTAATTTTAAAGGACATAATTATTCTCTTAATAATTAAGTTTAGTGAGAATGTATCATCCAGTTTATTGATTTGCACATGGGAGTTAAACCTTTCCACTTCTTGATTGACATAATGATTGATCTATAACTGGTGGAATATATTCTCTGTGTAGAAATCCTTTGCCAAAGGCCTTTCGTTTTATTGAAATGTATTTAAAAAGATATATATATATATATATATATATATCCACAAAGGGGAGGGTAATAAGCGCTGTGCAGAAAATAAAACTCTTGGCTTTGGAAAAACGGCTTCGTAGCGTTTGTAGCATGATGTCACATGTTGTAGGTCACAGAAGGGGTTCAGCCAAACTGGGATTTTATAATACGAACGGAATCCGAACTGACCGAAGCTTCATATTTCGTAATATACGTTCTGTAGTCTCAATGGAAATTCAGCATAAATGCAGTGTAAAAACAACACACCTGAGATCAGCTGACGGCAATACGCAGTTTTTAATCAGATTAGGCATTATAGCTGACAGGGGAGATAGCGCTGAGATATGCGGTGGTCCTGGTTGCTTAGGCGTCATCGTCGCGCATGCGCACTCGGGACAAACCTCTTTATATTGACCTACCGGCTCAGTCTCCGTCGTTAAGGTGGGCTGGTAAAATGCATGTCTGGGCTATTGGCATGGGACATGGCGCGTTGTCTTAGGGAGTCCACCGTTATTGCCGTCATGATGGTGTTTCGCTGCTTCGCCGAGCTCGTTTGCTCTGCGGTGAGTAGTTTACCTGAGCATCGGGCATCTCCATCATGCTGCGGACGCCCAGAGTCTCCGAGTCGATTAACGGCATGTCAGTAACGCCTAGCTGATCACGCTGCTTCACGCATCGCACCCGGGACATGTAGGGTGGAGACTGGGTGAGATGAACTTGATTCCGATCACCCCAGTTTGTAGTTGAGTGAGGGAGGATCTCGTATACACTTACTGTGTGTGAGCACCTGACTACGGCTGTAGGATTGTGCAACTTGTGAAGCATGATTTGCAGTGAATGCATGTGATCACCACCTCCAGTTTATCGAAACAAAAACGAGTTTTTTCCGTTTTGTTTTCATTTTCATCACAGTACTGGTGTGATTTATCAGTACTGACAGTATGTCGGAACGGTATATGCTGAGCTTTGGGTTTGCGTGGTGTGCGACGTGAATCAAGGTTTAATGCAACAGTTGGAAAAAAATGTGTAGTTTGAGGGCAAGGCTGTTTTACAAGTAATGTGTTTAACTGATAAATGGTGCCTTTGCCTCAAGGGGAATGGTCTTAGTGATAAGGATGACTGTCATTACAACACTGATGATTTGGTGTAGATTCTCAACCAGAACTGGCTTTTCTGGGCATGTCCAAAAAGCATAAATGTAGTTAGCATTGAGAACTGCATGTCTCTGGTTGGCAAAGTTTCACTTTTGTCAATTTAGAGTCGGCATGAATTGGTTTAAATGGCATAGTTGTCTTCATTGACTACATATTGTTGCAAGTTTGTCACTTTTCTCCAGGATGGTGTCCTGTTGTTTGCCCTCGGATCCCAAAGTCTTGACCCCCTACCTGGCTGCATGGCAACTAGCGGGACCCACATGGGCTCTCAGGAGTGTGAGGACGCTGTGGAAATCCAGGTGAACCATGAACGGGTTTCAGCTTCTGAAAACCATGACAAGCCAACCCAGTGTCTGCATCAGATGCGCTGCTTGCTTAAAATTCAGTGCCTCTTGATTTTGGCACGGCTACAATATGTAGCATCACGCTTTCATTATGATACCAGCTGTCTGCTAGCTGTGAACTGGAAGGCTTTAAACTGGGAGCCAGGGTGCCCTGGATGCTCTGGCCTTTCCCACAGGAGCAGCAGACTGGTTTAAGAGCAGAATGAATCTGGGGTGGCGTTTCCTTAAGTGGCCCATCAAGAGCCAATTATGGGGTTTGGCCTTTTAAAATGTTCTCCTCATCTCTTCTATAGGGATAGAGAAAACATCCCTGAATAACTGACTGCAGCAGCCCCAGCAGGAGGCAGTGAAGCGCACGCTCAGGTGATCTAGACCTTCCCTCTGCTACATTAAGTAGTGCTTCTTTCACAGTACAGGTTACCTCAAACCTGGTGACCCCAAACTAATCAATCAGTCAAACTTTACTTGCAGTTTGGACACACCTACCCATAGAATGGTTTATTTGTGCTATTCTTTATAAAAAGACATCAAAATCTATAAAATAACATGTATAGGAAAAAAAACAAATGCTGAGGCTTGGTGTGTCCAAACCTTTGACTGGAACTGTACAGAGCACCTTTAAAATGACACTCATAGAATTCAGAATGCTTTTATTAAAAATATGTAAACTTGATTTATACATGGTAAAAAGATGAAATAAAATAATAAAATGATGATGCAACTGGATTCTCTCTGAACAGGAGGTATGGAAGTAGCAGTATGGTTCTCTCTCTCTCTCTGAAGAGGAAGGGGTGCAGGTACCCCCCCTCCCAGAAGGTGGGTCCAGTAGAACAGTGTTTCCCACCCCAGTCCTGGGGCACCCCCAGCCATTCCATATTTTTGTTCTCTCCCAGCTCCCAACACATTCAAGTTTTCAAGTCCTTGATTGGCTGGAAGCTGGGAGGGAGCGAAAACACGGACTGTTGTGGTCCCTAAGGACTGGACTGGGAAACACTGCAGCACAATACTTCCAGCTGCCCCCATAGGAAGATGGCTGGTGCTGGTCCTATTTCATTTTGGCTAAGTGCCTATTTAATTGTAATTAAATAAATCTAGCAAGATGTGAGACAGTGCGTCTGATGATCGGTCTTAAATTTAATCTACACTTTGGCATTTGAGACCTGCTGTATGAACGGGCCAGTGATACAGCTGTTAGATTAATGCAACGGTCCGGCCTGTAATCATGGGTTTGAGTCTCATTAAGCGGAGTGGCAGATGGTGCTGAGAGTGCAGAGGCACAGCGGCCCATGCAGAAAGGCACCTTTCAGTAATGTGGGGTCACGGTGCTAATTCATGGTTATTTCAGGATGAATATCAGTAATCTAATCTGTAGACAATCTGAATTTGATTTCCATATACTTCTCTGTAGTGAGTGCTGGCTGAATTGAGTTAATTTGGGCTTCTCTCTAATAGCGCTGACTGGTACTGCTGACGCTGGTTTTTGCTCTTCCTGCAAACTTGAACTCCGATGTGAGGGTCACACGTGGCCTCATTTTCAGGTGTAGATGTTTGTTTGTAGAGACAATCGCACTGATTGAAGTGTCATTAAAAACCAGACATGCAGCCCCTGTGTCGTTCTGTTGGTTTTAATTAGCGTGCAATGGAGCTAGAAGCTAATGTTCTATATGCTGTTATGTAAAATACTGGGGAGATTCAAGAGGACATCATGGTTGAAGAGGTGGCTCCAATCACCACTTACTCCCCCTAGTTTTTGCCGTAAATGTCCAGGTCGGATGCCACACCCAGCCGTAGCCACCTGTTTCGCAGCTTCATCTCCCCTTGAATTCTACATCCCTGTGCACAAGTTCAGTCGTCTGCTTGGATTGACGGCTGATTGAAATTCCTGGCCGTGCGATTGGGTGCTTTCTGTAACGAGCGGCTGGTGACTGGTGGCATCGATGCTTCGTAAAGGTGTCATTTAGTGAGTGGGCTGTTTGTATACCACAGGCGTAACACGGATGATGGGATGGACCTGGATAGATTCCCCAAACGAAAGCGAAGATGTCAGGGACGAGACACCGCTGAGTCAGTGTGGAGGTGTGTCTGTTGAGCACAGAGCTGGCGTCCTCACCGTGCCGGATTAACCGCTAAACAGCTTTATGCTTCTGCTTGTGTGCTGATCTAAACGAGATCACCTCCTGATCACCATCTGCAGTCCACTTTAATCTCATGAATCTCAACTCCCTACTTGAGACAAGCTAGGATGTCAGGGGTATCATGGGTTTAATTTCCAGTTCTTACAGTCCAGTGACTTATTCATCACGAAACACAGTCCTAGATCAAACTAATGAGCCTCTCCCTGGCAGGTGCCCAGACTGAGAAGCCAGAGGAAGAGATTCAACCAGGTCCATCATCCTGGTTCAGACCTGCAATCGGACATGTTGGCAGGGAGCCAGACAAAGGAGGAGACTCTGAATAGGATGAGTCAGCATTGTTGAATATTCAAAAATCTTAATAGTAAATGCACTCAAATATTATTTAGCAGCAATATATTCATTCTGAAGTTTCTCTCTACTGCTTTGTGCGAGCTCTGCGTGAGCTTAACAAGCCAATCACCATCATTTCTGTCCATGCTCACTCAGCATGGCATGTTTGTGAAATTAATAAATATGCATGGGGCAAATGAGAACTGACCACCAGAAGACGTGTGGAAATATTTTGGATTCCATAGAGAAAATATTGAGCAAAATCAAGTGATTTGTCAGCACTGATGTCGCTGTTAATTTTATTTGTACATTTTGTCATAGTTGGTAGTTAAAAATGTCAATTTATGTTCTGTGAAATTCAGTTCTATATTTTGAATTGTGAAGTAGTCAGTAGTAGATAATTCTGTTTGGCTATAGTTTATCAGGTAACTTTTCAACTATTTTGTGTTAAATATAATTATTGCCTTTTGAACTTTAATCCAATGTCGCTCAACCCTAGTTTCAAGGCTACATTAATATTGTCATTCTTTTGCAGCAGTGAGTGATGTCTTTTGTATGGAAATCAACTGAGAAGCCTGTAAGCCAGAAAAGTTAGTATTGTGTCAAAAAGAAATCATTTGGTGTAACTGCCCAAAGAACAAGCTATTATACATTATTGAATGCTACTATACTTAACTATGCTCTCTCCAGTTTAGTTTGTTTCAGTTTCATACAAAGTCACCCCTTCACGTTGGCGAGGGTTTGGGGCAGAGGTGGTTTGCTAGTGATAGGACTGTACTATGCATGAAATTGTCAGATTGTACCCGAATGTGATTTAGGTTTATGCAGTAAGATATGTGGCCCCTAGGCTTGGCATTTCGTGGGCACTGAGCTACATGTAGGCACAAGGTGGGAATGGAAGTGGAATGTGTGGCGGAACTTCAAAGCGTTACGCTAAAAACATGCCATTAAGTTCACAGCAACTATCTGCACCAACAACTTAGGGTCTCCTCAGTAGCAATATAACATGGATGCAGGTCCTACAGACGATGTGTGGGACCATTTTTAATCAACACATATACATGTATGAAAAATATTCATATGTAAATGACTTAAGAGCTGAAGAAATTACCCAGCACAATTCCTTAAGCCAGCTGAACAACAAGCTTGGAAAATTAATTGTAATAATTGGAAAATTGTTATGCACAATTTCGGGTTCAGTCAGTTTGAGGTGCATCAAGGCCAGGAACAGCCTCGAACGAGATACCTGTTCAGAGGTTGTGCTTACACAATCAACCAATCAACACACCATAGGCAGCAGGTGCAGCTGGCTGACCACACTTCCAAACCTATTTGATTCTTTAACAGTTATGTGTAGATGTATCTTCTGCACCGGTACGGCCTACATGTGTACCTGGACGTTCACTGGAAGCTGAGCCTAGCTGCACTGAAGTTGACTCCTTGACAGCATGAATGTTTTGCTATTCGCATCACTTGTTCATGCCGTCTATTAAATATGTAAAAAACTACTGTATTGTATTATGATATGTGGCTCATGGGTTAAGATTGTGATTGGAAGGTTGCCATTTGAGCCCAGCTTCTGCAAAATAGTCATGTCTGTGAGCCCTTCAGCAAGGCCCTTAGCCCCCCAGCTCCATGGGCACCGCTGCAGGTGGCTGACCTTCGACGCCAAGCTTGTCCTCACCTATAAGTGTGTTTCTGTGTCATGGAAGGCAAGACTGGGTAGCTTAGAGGATGTGTAGTATGCTATTCGGGAGCTTATGGGAGTTTTATTTACACAAAAAAAATGTTCTGAGGGAAGAAGGAAAAGCGATTGGTTCAGAGATAATCAAATTGTAGAGGCAGAACCAAGACAGCTCATTGGTTGGTCCTACCTCCTGTACAATGTAACTGGTTCTCTGAACCAATTCATTTTCGTTCCGCCTTAGAACATTTTTGTGTAAATGAAACTCCCATGAGCCATTTGCTAAGCAGGAACAAGACACTGCAGGCCATATGCTGGGGGGGGGCTGGCACAATGAAGTGGAGTGCACAGGAGCTGTAAGACCAGAGAGGCCCCCACCAAAGTCATTCTGGGGCCGTACATCACCTAGAACACAGCGAGCAAGTCCGGGGGCTCACACTGCTGCTGTAACAGGTGAGGGAAAGCAGAATGGTTACACTAAATTATAGAGCGCGCTTCTGTGTCCATGGGGGTCTGTGTAAGGGCTGGCAGCATAAGAGCGGGAGGTCAGGGTCATTCACATCAGCATCTAACAAAATAACAGCAAAAGTTAGAGAAATATACCTCGTTTAAATTCAGGGCTACCTACCGCCATCAAAATTGACACTTAAATGAATGTATTCTAGCATCAAACACAAACGTCTGGAAGCAGCCCGTGCCAAACACATTCAGATGGCAGTAAGAAGCGGTTCAGGTAAAACTACCTTAAATGCAGTAGATTTCACAGCTATAATTCCATAAATATCACATTTCTATGACAAAGTGTCCCATGTTATCACAATTCCATGAAGCTTAAAAAAAATCTCATGCATCAGGGCCAACAGTGTTCCCATAACGGCAGTGCAGACAACCACCAAAATTAAACCAAGCCTTAGGTGGGGAAGACAGCTTCAGTTGAAGGACGTGCTCTATCAGGATGGACACTGAACTCAAGGGAAACTCTTCCTATAGCAAAAGGCCCTTAACCCAGCAGCCTGGATCCAAAAGCAGCCTCTTTGCGCGGTTACCTTTTCTCTTCCTTGCCATTGTCATACAACACATTATTCCTGTTACACGCGTCACTTACCGGTTCTATATCAGCATCACATGACAGGTTCAGTTACTGGAAGCCCCATTTTGCAACAGGACCGATTAACCACAGATAATCCCTTAATGCATAAAGACACCAAAGGCCACCACAGTAACCCAACACATCAATTGCATCTTTTACGACGAGTTTCTCGTGGCTGTCTCTAAATTACTAACATTATTAGGATATTTAGGGAAGTATTAAAAAATACATGACAGATTAGCTCAAAATCCCACGGGAAAATCGCTACTGGTTACGTTCGAGACTCATTGCTGAAGCCCAGCCACCTACCATGCAAAAGTCCTGAACCATTTACTTCTACGTTACAAACGGACATGCACTCACATTTTGATAAACAGAAATGCACCGTTTAATAAACTCAGTGTAGATTGATGGTATACGAACACTTTATTACAATACATTTTAATAGGAAAATAGGCAGGAAGGCAATTATACAAGGTTCTTGCTGTACAATCAGAAACGTATAGACAGAAGGTTAATTATATACACTGCCTTCTAGAAGTGGAAAAGTTGGTGTATGCCTTTTAAAATATCCCTTCTGCTCACTGTACCTAATGAAACGAAGCTTAAACAAGCATCTTTACAAAATGCACGAGTCGAGACGTGACGTCGCACTATCCAGTAGTGAGACACGGAAGCACACGTAGTGTAAAAGGTGGTTTACGTTAAAACGAACAGAAACGGTGGAAAACCAAAAACGGCGGCTTTCCTTACTGGCTGTACAAACTGGTATAGGGGACGTTAAAAAAAAACTTACACGGAAAAATGACGACACTAATGAATCCAGTACTTTAATTCTTTTTTTTTTTTTTTAATATAAAATGTGGCATTTACGAAGACATATAGTAGAGAATATTACGTTTTGTAGGAAATTTTAAGCACCAGATATGGAACATTACTGCTGGAGGGAGTGTTGAAACCTGCAAGCCGGATTCACCCATAATCTGTAGCGACCGCAAGATCTCCCTGGTTGGCGATGTTTTACTGCATCACGGATATTATCCGCATACAAATAAACACTGGCTATCGAATAATGAACTTCCACAAAACCGGAACAGTCCGTTCGTAAACAACACGGAGACAGACAGCCGTCATCAGGGGTGCAGAGAGATCTCCTATGTCACTGCAGTGCGGCTTCACAGTCGGGACGACTCTTCGGTCTGCCCACCCCCCCGGCCCGTTAATCTCGCCTTCCCCCAGCTACCAGGGATTTAGGAGGTTTGGGGGCGTGTGCGGCTTTAAAAACTCCACCGAAAGTACAAATCGCACATCATGTTCCAGCGCCCGACCGGCTGGTATAAAAAACACATTCAGATAGCAGCTACGGCTAGCTGACAGTGACTCGTCAAAATGGATTTGAGAGGTATTAACAACCCTGTACTTAAAAAAGGCCTGTATTTCTCCATCATTAAAAACTCCTATCTGAATCATACACCATCAAAAGCTTTGTTCCTACCCCAGCCCTAACAGCCTAGAAAAGGGTTTTATAGAGAACGCTGACATTTAAGTGTAAATGTTACCACATAGTTTACACGTTAAAAAGTAATAAAAAAAATTACAGCTTGGTGTGATTGGACGTCTTCACTCTTCAAAACCAGCCTCTAAAATGGGTCTTTTGTAACTTTTTAAGGCGTTCACCTGCAAAGACTAGCGTTATAAGCTCGGCACGTCGTACAAGGGTGACGCATGTGGACAGGTCTGGGTGATCCTAAACCCGGGCGGGCTGCCACAATTCCCATCCCATATCTCAACAAAAATTCATCCAACAAACCAGCCGCCCTCGCTGGAGGCTCGACACGTCAGTCCCTTTTCCGTAAAGGTCAGACCGAGCAAACTCCTCCACATTTCAATCGAATGCCCTTTTTGCGGGTTGAATTATTCACGACCCAGCAAACGCTCCACGGCGGGGGGGTGGGGGAGGGGACGGGGGAGGTTAGAGGTCGGGGAAGCGACTGGGGTCCTCCTTGTACTCGTTAGGGATGGTGAAGTTGGACACGTCGAACGTGTCATAGTGGAACTCCTGAAATGTCACGGTGGCGGCGATAGTGGGAAACACGGGGATGTCTGAAACAGAGGTGTACACAGGCCGTTACATTGCAGGGGTCTCTCCGAGGGACACTGCCGCTCACTTACGGTGTGGATAAAAACTGCTGTGAGAAAGTCAGATGGACATACAGGACAGTACAGAAATCTTAATCATTTTAACAGCTTTAAACATTTAAGGTGGGTAGTATTTTTTTTTTCTGAGCAAATATACAATGTGACATAAAAGTTACTGAAACTGGTCAGTCAATCATGGTATGCTTGAGTCAACAAATATATGGGTGCATTGGATGGGTGCTGAGGCTGCTGCATAGCTCAGTGTTAGGACACTGTACCTATAATCGGAAGGTTTTCGGTTCAAATCCCATGATATCAGTTTACTGTTGATCTCCTAAGCAAGACCTTTAACCCCAACTGCTCTCAGGACTGTCTGATGCTGCTTTCTCAAAACTGCATGGATGCAAGGATCTACTGTACAGCAAAATATACGTACTGGGGTGACTTTAGGAGTGCTTTTAAAATGGCTGACACACATTACACAGTTTCTGCACGGTACCAGCCTCAATGCGAGCCGGCTCCTCACCCAGCTTGACGGGGAACCCAGGCGGCAGCTTCATCTGCACGAATTCCCGCAGCTTGTTGAAGTGCTTGAAGGGCGCGATGACCTCCAGGACGTTCAGGAGCCTGCGGGGAGAGAGACGCGTCGCAGGGCGTTGGGGGCAAAGGCAGCCGGCGGCCTCGTCTCCCACACTCACGCCTCGATGCCCAGTGGGAACTCCTGGCTCATGGCGACGGTGGCTTTGAAGTTCTTCCTGCTCTCCTTACACACCAGCTCCCTGCCCAGGTGAGGAGCCCTGCAGAGGACACTCTCGTTAGGTGGGGGGAGGGGGGCTAGGCGAGCAGAAGAATCTGAGAGGCTGGCGGCATGATGTGGTCGGGGTGATTTGCGCTTCTAGAAAACTCCGGGGACACTGCTGCACAGCGCTGAGAGGAGGCCAGGTCATAAAAACGACACGAAGATCATTTCTCTTTCAAGATTTAAAGAATCACATTGTCAGAGAGACAAGGCCCCTGAGAGTCAGCTTAAGCCCGGATACAGTCATGCTGAGGGTAACTAATTACAATTGGCCATTAACACTGAGAGGGCGGGGCAACTATAAATAAACCAGCCTATTACAGGGGCCTGATCGCAGCCTATAAAAATGAAGTAAAATAACTTCAGTTTCAATATGTTGGATAGAAGCAAACAAAAGGGCAGGAAAATTTAACTAGAGAGTGGGGTCTAGGTGACCTTGATATGCCCAAGCGAACGGGACGGAGGACAGAGCAGGGTGAGTCGTGCCGGGCACGGGGAGATGGGCACAGGCCCAGGACCAGAGTCGCAGACGGATGCTGATGGGGGCCTGGCTTGCCGGGGCGGGCAGGTGACCTAATCCTTCTCGGAACTGGAGGCCAATGGCTCACGAGACCACAAACCACTCCGGGAGGTAAACATGGGTCTGCGTGGCGATGCCAGACACCCACCCAAACATTCATAGTACCCGTGGCGGAATTAGGAATAAAAACAATTACCAGCAGTGCTACCGAACGGGATGGTTTCATAATTGGTTAACCATAAGCTCCCATTTCCCACTCATGGTGGGGGACTTCCGGATAAATGCAGCGTCCACAATCTTCAGAAGGTCATGCGGCTTGGAGGGGCTCCAATTGGTGCCAGACCTGACAGTCCATGCTGGGAAAGTGACAGAGCCAGGGCTCCGGGGGGGGGGTGGACGCAGTCTGACACCCCCCAGTGTGAGTAGCAGGTGGGCGGGCGGGGGCTGGTGCTTACTTCCCCCTCTCCGCGGTGATGTACTCCTCCCACGAGATGGTGCTAGGCGACGGCGGGACAAGTGACTGCCTCCTGATGGGCTTTTGGGGGGGGGGGGGGGGAGATGACACATCAGGAAAGAGGAGTCCCAGACGGGGTTTATGGTGTTCAGCTGGAGGGGGGGGGACACAAGCCTGTGTTCTGGGGGAATATCATACATATAGAGATAAGCATAATAACAAGGGAAGTCACTGCAGCAAGGCCTTCTGGGATGCCGACCACAAGCCTTAGGTACTGATGGATTAATTCTCTGTGTAAGTAAGAGCAGGCAGGTCACTCCTGCAGGCTGTAGTTCTGAGCGACTTGGGAGTCGTAGCTCTGCTCTTTATCAACATCAGGAAGGAGGGCAGTTCCCAGATTCAGGCCCCGACTGGACAGCTGAGGGTCACACTTCCTGCAGAAGGTGACGACCGCACACTGCTCGAAAACGCGGCCAACAAGCGTGCTGCGGGCGGGCCTCGAATTGGCCAAGGGGAAAGTACCAGAAAGTCAGGACGGAGACTGTATACAAACACCCTCACTGATGAGACTGAAGATACAGCTGGCAGACTCAAGGACAGGTTTGCTGAGGAAGCCTTGGATGTACCAACATTTGTATGATTCCTTGCGATGGGATTTTAAAATCCCAGGTGGCTCAGAAGTAAAATAAATGTTTGCATCTGCAATGCCATATACCTGTCTATGTCCTTGTGTACTGTCAGTATATAATGCACAGTTTTAGTAAAATACTTATTTTTAATATACCCATAATATACCACGCTTCAGAATCATGACTTAAGAGCAGCTTAACCCTGGTGCCAAGCAGCGTGAACATCCAAGAACGTGGCATGTCCACCATCCGTATGAAACCAGCCCTTACAGGTGAACTTAATGTCCGCCGGCTGTCACCTGGCAACTGTCACCGAGCAGCAGGAGGCTGGACCGTACATCACTGCTGTCCTTTGAGCCCACGGCTCCCATCACGGGACACTATGCAGGTGAGCGCCCTCATTTAAAGAGCATCCTTCCTGGCAGGGGGCCGGGTCACTACCGAACCGCGGCCAATTAATAGCTCAGGAAGAGCAGGCTGGGGGAAAAGCAGTGTCCCTGCACACAACAGCCTGTCCCCGTTTACCCTCTCTGAGGCCGCAGGTGGGTCACCATGAAAATTCATGAAAAAAAATTCACCCTAAAGGCAAAGATGAATCCAGAGCCAGAACTGAATGGGGAAGAGTTGTTTCTCGAAGGTGCGAGACCCAACCTCACACTGGTGCTGCGGAGGACGAGCAGGAGACCCCCCCGAGGTACGGCACCCACCTCGAAGCTCTGTTCGGCCAGGCCACCACCCTTGCTCCAGCTCTCCATGATGGCCTTGTTCCTCAGCACGTCCTCCTCGCTCAGGTGCTCCCGCCGCTTCCGCGACTCCAGCACCAGCCCATTCACCGAATAAAAATCCGCCAGGAAATTCCCAACCCTTTCCTGCAACGACCAGAAGGGGGCGACGGTCAGCCGCAATCGGGCAAAAGAGTCCAATTCACAAGCTATGCCCGAGTGGAGCGTTTGAAGCGAAAGGCCAGGGTACCAAGAACGAGATTATTAAATCTAAATTGTTTTGTTAAAAAGTGTTATTACAAAAGAAAGATTTTTTTTTTTAACCAAAATTTCAAACCTGGAATTCCTGCTAAGAAGAAATCTCACCGTTTTGTCCTCACGGAAGAGCCAGCCCATCTGGGAGCGGGCGAAGGTGATGGATTTTGTGGAAAGCGTGGCCGAATAAATGTCGCTGCTCATTAAGATGTCCACTTCCTCCTCAGTCTCCATCTCCGACTCCTACGACAAGAAACGCCATGTTAGTGTGCCCCCTGCAGGCCAGGTGAAGCAAGGTGGACCCTCATTATAGGCCTCAAGCTCAGAAGTGTAAAAACATAGGTACCTCACATTCTGAATAATACCCACCCTAAAGGTAGGTTTTTCCCCACACGATCTGTGCTCATGATGCACTGTACAAGTGAATAATTTAACCAGTTTACACAGGTGTGCATATGGGTTGGACAAATCATGAAGAATGGCACCTGCTTACATGGTGAATCTCAGGCTCGGCTCTCCACAGATAATAATTGCCCAGGCTTCAATAAGAGGTTCAAATGAGGAGATTTCAGCGCATAATGAAGCCACTGAGAATATAACTTGGCCTTGCTAAGGAATCGGATGGTTTCTGCTGTTAAGACGTCCCAGAATCGTGCTTCCCTGATTCCCCAAAGCCCCGCCCCCCCGGATTCACCTCATGATGGATCCACTGGTAGACCTTCTGCTCGTTGTCGAGCACCACGAAGGACTCGGAGGGTGGGGCGTTGCCGTCGAAGATGAAGCTGAGGTCCCCCCTCTGGCACTTCATGTCGGTGAAGTCGACGAGGGTGGTGTCCAGCCTGCGAGAGACGTCGCGTCAGAGGGACAGGGACCCACCTGGGGCTCCAGGGTGGTCTGACAGCCCAGTCACCCGGGTTCGTCCATCGTCGACTCCAAAGAGTGAGTGGGTTCACCTTACCTGATGGTGAGGCCTTGCTTGGAGATTTTACAGGTGTCAGAAGGCAGGATTCGGGACAGTAAAGGAACTGCAAAGGAAAAAGGAATTGAGAGGGACAGTTGGAAATTCCTTTTCAAACTACGGAATTGGAGACAGAGAGAGAGAGAGAGAGAGAGAGAGAGAGATCCCTTATATTTCACGCAACAAACAAGCTGATCACTTCTATTTGTGTTCTGCACAAATGAAAAATGTCTGCAGGGCGCAGAACATTATCTCACCCAAAGAACGCAGAGAAAGGGTAACACCAGTGTTTAACTTGACTGCATACTAGAGCCCTGCGCAGGACTATTTTTTTAATCCCGCTCCCACCCACTCCCGCTGAATTTCTGACCATTACCGCCCACTCCCGCTGAATTTCTGACGATTCCCGCCCAATCCCGCCCGCTGTCTCTGTCACTCCCGCCCGCTCCTGCCCACGACAATCTAAAACCCGCCCAATCCCGTGAGATTTGCGTTGGGTCCCGCGGGATCCCGCTCCCAATGCAGGGCTCTACTGCATACAACTCAACATTATGGGATTTATTGTCAGATGAAGCTGCTGCTTTTCAAGTCAAGGGCTTCATGTGGTTTAAAGGGAAGACTGGGGAATGTAATTAAATGCCCCAAAATGCCTCTAAGGAAAAGGTCTACTATTACTATTAAACCTAATGAAAGACTAGTGAGAACTCACCCCAGCTTTGGAAATCCCAGTGAAACTCCAGATAAAAGTCGCCAAGCTGGGAGCAGGAAAGAATGGAAAGAAAATTAATTGAACACTAGGGATGACTCTTAATGTTATAGTGCAGGGAAATATCTTAAAAGTAGGCCTAAAACAGACCAACAACACCTGCAGAAAGATGCATGCTAACGTGCTAATATGCTAGTCATCTGGAGGAGCAGGGTGTATGCTAACGTGCTAAAATGCTAATAATCTGAAGAGCAGGGTGTATGCTAGTGTTCTGAAACAGCAGACTGTATGCTAACGTGCTAAAATGCTAGTGATCCGAAGGCTCACCTCTTTCAGGGCGTTGAGCAGGCGAGGCCTCTTGTCCTGTACGCTTTCTCTGGACTGCTGTTTCAGCTTCCTCAGCAGCGCAGTGACTGAAAGGAAAAAAGGGGGGGGGGACGACAATCACCCATATTAAACAAAAATGCCTGAGCCTAAGATCTTAAGGAAAGCTAAATCAGACAGGTGAAGAGAAGACATCTGGGTCCAGAGCATCCCACTCTACGGTTGAGTAGACCTCAATACGCATACAAACAGACTGAAAACCTAGTTTCTGAACCATTTAAACTATGTTCCAACAAGAGACGACATCTTCTTGACACCAAATACAGTCCATACAATGCACAGTAATATACTGATATGATTTGGCGGTCTTTGATTATCTGTTTTTAGGTACTGGACAGAACCAAAACTTCTCAAAACATTTGGTGTTGTGGTCTGTTAATCGTGTAACTCAGATGGCTAAACTTGCTTCTAAACAGGTCATCACCACCGGCGACCTTTACTCACTCGTAATAGTAATTCCTATTTTTTAGTGGACAAGATGGATAACTTAGAGCCACCGGGGCACCTAAACTCCGGCTGTCACCTTGGGAACATGGAAGCGCAGAGCAGAGGTGTTTTCCACTGGCACATGTACACGAGCTGTACCGCGAAGAGAGACTAGTCACAGCACGGTTCCAGTTAAATTTGGTTTTCCACTAAAGCAGGATCAGCGCAGTAAAGCCGTCGCCACGTTTGGAGAGCTACAGTGATGCAAAACCGAAGAGACACTTTATTTTTCATGCAGTGTATACCAGGATTTACTGTGCGCTAATTTCCGCTAGCAAGTCTCTGAGAATCACCATCTTATTTATTTTCTCTAGAATCGTCGTCTTATGTCAGCATGAAATGCTAGCAGAATTAACATTTGCGTGTGTAAATTTGGCCTTGGTTCTTGGGGGCAGTAGGAAAGCACCATAACACACAGAAAGTGAATTTAAATAGACCATTAAGGTTTTAAGATTACAGGCAAAGTCAATCAATTTTGCATAAAACACCAGAGGTTCACAGAGGTCTGAACAAAGCACAAGATGTCCCACAGTTTATTCTGGAGGCTAACAAACTATCTCTGCAAGAAGATATTTTAATAAATTACTGTGTTATCCACATTTGCAGAAAGCGACAGCAGACAAACACCAAAATGATCTTCATTATTGAACCATGCTGGCTGCCACTCAAGTGGTCAGAGACTTACTTTTGGTTTCCCCCCATAAAGCACGTAATGAAGGGAGTGTATCTATCATATATCATTCATGCAAGCTGCTGGAAATTAATCAGAAATGCGGCGGCGGAAACTGGAATCCGATACAGCGCGGCATTTTAATTATTCATCTGCGAGCATTTCATAACCTGTGGTGCACTTACAGAAGTACAATCCATCGGCTGACAAGTCCATTAATTAAAAATAAAAAGGTTTAATAAGACTTCTGCGGTTTGCGCTGAGCCCGTGACTTTAGATCAGTTTGTGATGTTATTGTTCTTGTAAATGAATATATAATGTGTAAATAGAACAGAAGAGGACCTACCCATTTGGCATTTTAGCTAGTGTATCATCAAGCATCCAGCTGCACTGAAGGATTCCTCATTTAGCGCAAAGCACGTCTAAAAACTAGCCAGGTGTAGCAGGCTGACACATTATGGCTGTTCATACAAGTATTTCTTGATGTGAGCACATCATGGCGGCCACAAGGTGTCCTAAGAGGGGCCGCTCTCTTCAATTACCGTGGTAAACATCCTCAAAAAGAAATTCATGCGGCAGAACAACCCAAATCTGTGGGGGGGGGGGGGGATGACGAAGCGTGATGTGGGCAGGGAGTCTCAACGCTGCCAGAAGCTGCCCTCTGGGGGCCGCCACCCCCCAAGCTGGGGCCTCGCAGCCCATCTGCCCCTTTGGCAAAAAACATCCGGTCAGGGCAGCCTGCTGGGTGGCCCTCGCTCACCGACAAAACAGCTCGGGGGGGGAAGGCCACCTTTCAGCTGCCGCTTAAAGGGAAAGGCCAGTGAAGACAGGCCGGCCGGCACGCTGCCCCCCCCAGCCCCCACAGGCCCGGCCTGCTTAGGAGTCAGCTCCTTATAACCATTCGCTAGTCCCAGAACACTCAACACAATTAACCCAACAACCACATTAATGCTAATTATGGCAGAGCAGGAAACTGGGGATAAATAATCCCAAGGGAGCTGGTATTCACCCCCGACCCCAGCAACTGTCCCCCCCCCAAGGCGTGACTTCCTGGCAAGGTCGGTATTTGAAGGTATTGGGGCTGAAATAATTTGTGGGTGAAAAACTGCAAGAGACCCAGTCACCCTTTAAACCAGAACTGGTCCACTAGACGGGCTGAAAAGAGTGAAAGAAGGGGGGAAAAAAACAAAACACAAAAACCGGATGCGAGACGCTAAAATAACTCCAACGATCGCACAAAGCCCAGCTTTTAAGCTGCCAACCAAACCAGCTCGTCCCATTGAGCTACTCAGGTTCACATACCGATAACGCAGACGGCTTTTACAACGTCACATTAAAGAGATCCAAATCCTAAGTCAGCTTCTACACAACTGCACAAAAACATGCATAAAACACCACCTCCAAACAGTAATTACGGGAGTCATTAATCATGCACATTATTAATTTACCATGAAACTATCCGACACCGAGTGGCTTAAAAGGCAACACGTTTCCTGGGGCCGCCATGGCGACACAGGGCTTGTAAACGCCAGGAAGAGCTCTGAGATCTCGAGGACACTTGAGCTGACTAATGCAGTCACGCTGGCATTGAACACACCACAACGAACGCAGGCGGCAGGCTCATGTTACGGGTGCAGATTCGACCAGAAATTACATCCAACGTGCTTCAATACGTGCGACATTTAAGAGCTTAGCAAAAATTTAAATAAGATTTATTAACCAGACCTCACAAAGAGTGGGGAGTTTTCATTCAGTAGGTTCAAAAGTTGCCTTCCACACTGACGGAGAAACTGATGGATGGAAGCAGCTCCTTTTACGGCCGTTCTTTACAGTACAGAGCAGTAGCTATATATATATAAACCAAAGAACTACAGAACTACATAAAATGACTAAGACTAGACCACTAAAACTACTGAATTAACAATACACAAACTTTAGACAAGTGAACCCCCAAATACCAAACGTATTCCTACAACTTTCACAAGTAATTGGACATCTTATTGCTTATCACTACAGAAGTGAAAATATACATATTGTTAGAAGCTAGACACACATACTCCTCACAAGGACATACTTAAGCGTTCGTTATTTAAGGTTAATGAGGCCAGTGCTGAATGGGAACCTAGTTTGTTTATTGAGATGGTGGCAGCCATTTTATACCAGGGTAGCCTAATTTCTAGTTCCTTCCGCCATGTCAAAATAAGGTTAATTAACTGGATAATGTGTGCTGGGTACTACTGGAGAGATCTGAGATACGTTTGTTTATGGTGTGCATGTAATGTTATAATACCACATGACGACAATTACTAGTAACTCGCTTTTATAGACTACAAAGTTCTCCAATCCTGCGTTAAATGCGCACAAGCGATATGGCACATGAAGGACCCACGAGGGTGACTTACTCATTTGCCTGTCCCCGAAACTGATGGCTTCGGCGAGGGGACTCCATCCCTGAGCGTTTTTCACCTTGACAGGTGCATTGTGGGCCAGGAGCAAGTGGGCACACTCTGAAGCAAAGGGAGAAGGCGGAAATTAATAGAAGCTGGAGCTGAGGGAAGAAAACAGCAGTTTTAGCTTCTTCAAACCTGTTCTTTTTTCAGAGCCGTTTCAGTTAAGAAGCCTGTGAGACGGCATGGACGGATCAGGCACTGCGCGGACAGGTCGGGGGCGTCAGGCGAGTGATCACTCTGGCCTTTCCTCACCAAATCTTGCCCCTGGTCCCGTTAAACCAGGGAAGATTATGTCGCAAGAAATTGCCAAACAAACTAAACCAACTGTCCTGTTTCTGAACCAGGCATAAAATCATGCATGATTTATTCAGAAGCATGTAACGATTTGATGTTAAGTTACCTGACATAATCCCGCCTCCATAATCCTGGTTATGAGGCAAACTTCTTAAATGGAATTAACTGAGAGCAGGAAAATAAAGATTCAGAAACAAAACATTTTGAAATCATGGGTGCACTGTCCTGCAGTGGGGGGGGGGGTGTGTGTAACCCTGGTAACGAATCAGAGGCTACACAACCCCCCCCACAACGTAGCTCACCCCTTGGTTGGTCGCTTCCTGTCTCCATTGAGCAGAGTTGAACAGCCAGTGGAAGTGTCTTATGTAATCTCGGCTGGAATACTGAACACGTCCCGCTGGCCGGACCCCCATTCAGGGGCCAGGGGGCCGGGCGGGGGGGGGGGGGGGGTAGGGGCAGCTCCTCTTAGGGGGCATGGCTGCCTCACCCCTATGCTGCTCCACACAGGACTTTACATAAACAATGGCTTATCCACCCCAGCCTCTGGCTACCAACCACTGACTCCTGATCGAATCACAAAATGTTGGTTTTCTGAACACCACAGTCCCAGTCAGCCTGAGGGTAAAAGGAGCATGAGAGAGGCTCAAGCTGAGGGCTGTGGCCCTACAGCATCACCCAACCCGGTCCTCAGGGACCCCCAGTCGGTCCATGTTTTTGCTCCCTCCCAGCTCCCTGCCAGACAGCCGACATTTTGGCTACCAGTAGGGAGCAAAAATGTGGACTGGCATGAGAAACACTGGCCCCGAGGAAAAGAGATAATATCACTGAGATTCTTCTACTGTAACAACTGCCTCCCTTCCACTAAATAGCATTTATCGCAGTTAGATAACTGCACTGGTCTAGTTCACTCTCGAAACAGGCAGATATATAGACATACACACAGAAACACACAAGCGAGAAATGCTCTACTCACCTTTCTGTCCCGTCATCACGGCCAGGTGAAGCGGCGTGTTTCCTGCAGCGGCAGGAGACAGCAGGGTCAGAGGAACGGGATGATTTTAAACAAACAAGGTCGTCCTGCCAGAGCAGACAAGCAGAACTGAGGGGGGCGGGGGGGGGTCCCAATTAAACCGGCATCGGTGAGCGGCCGGCGAGGTCCCTCAACACATCATTCGTACGTGGAATTCCTTGACATGTCGCCCCAGGGAGACCCCAGGAATGGGTGTGATCATCCAGCCAAACACCAGCCGCCCAAGCTCATTAAGATACCGTGTGCATTATATAATCCATACTGCCAACCTGGCTCAGATTTCCATATCGACGGGAGCCCAAAACATTAACTTAATGCCCAACCGGACAGTAGATGCAGGAGGTGGGTAAACAGCTGCCTGGACTTTACAATAGCAGGGTCTCACCTAAAACTTTAAGCTCCGGGAACATTTCATTCACCCATAGAACTGGGGTGAGTGTTACACACCACAGATCGCCACTGGAATTTAGAGTAACAGTTAAATCTCAATTAATATTCCTGTTTTTCCCCCTCTACAAATTAATCTGATTTTGTATACATTCAAAACTCCAATGGCACAACCACACATACAATTTAGGTTTCAAATGGATATAGAACAGCAATAAATTATAAAATGAATCATCAGTGTACATGTACCAGTTAAGTAATTAGAACAACCTTACTGTACAAGTGGTAAGCATTTACTTTCTGGAAAAACCTAAAAGTACAAATATCATTTCCTGTATGCAATACACCTGGGAAACGCAAATTACCTACAGAATAGTGATATATTAGGTTCTGTTCTGTATTCACTGAAATTGTTTGACTTTCTCTAAAACCATGTGTGACAGTCAGGCCGATTAAAGCTTATTTCCAATAAGGGGTTCGGCTGGTTAAATCTTAGGCTTACTGATAAAATCCAGAGCACCGAGTCCTTAAGTAAATAACCTGCATTTAAAACGCATATAACAACAAGCAGGACCATTCTGGGACGAGATAAAATTTTAATTTGTAAATGGTCAAATAAAAACATAAAATGAGGTACATGGATTATAAAAGTTAGCCATTTAAATGGAGTCTGAACTGAGAGTAACAGCTCAACATATCGAAAGGTGAATTCTGACATTTCACATGCAGAGATGACATGCTGGAAATCAGAGTCAACCAGAAATGATAAAGTAATCAGTTGCGAGTTTAACATACACATACATACATATTTGGTAACCGCTTGTAACTAGAGTCTATCTTGGAGGCTATGGACGCAAGCTGGAGAACATCCCAGGACGGGGTGCCACCCCATTGCAGGGCGGGCACACACACACACACACACACACACACACACACACATATATGGGCAATTTGGTAACTCCAATTAGCCTCAGCATGTTTGTTAGGGGAAACCAGAATATCTGGAGGGAACCCCATGACAATACAAGGAGAACATGCAAACTCCACACACTGAGCCAAATATGTAAATAACAATGAAACAATTAAGTGTTTCGCAATTATGTCCTAAAATGTCCTGCAGTTTAACGACATTCAGGGTAGTCATGTGACTTCTGGGACAAGTGACATCACACACCGATTTCACTGATCAAATGGAATGTTTCCTTATGCATGCCTCAAAGCATTTCCACAACAAACATGGAGGACAAACCATATCTCACAAGATAACATTTACAGCTATAATTACACAATTAGCTGTAAAACAAGGTGATAATGACAGAGCACAGATCACAAAGAAGCCAGCGGGCTTTGGTGAAAGCAGTGGCAAACATACACCAGGATGTAAACAGTACTGGCTACCAGATGGAACTAAATACTGACACGGAAGCCATTATTCTCTCATCATAATGCAAACGTGTCGAGTTTCTGTATTTAAGCTAACAACAATGTAGGAAGCACTATTGTATAATGACAGCAACACGTTGTAAATGAAGAGAACGAACATCCAAATACATTATTTAGGCTCATGTAAATAATGCCGTCTTTCACAGCTTGAGCCTGCAAGAGGGATCAAATAAAGCTGGCTGACAGGAGATTGCTTTGCAGTACACGTTGCATTAATCTGATTGCATTTAATGCGGTTTTGCGGTTAACGTGACCTAATGAAGCTAAACAACCGATCTCCACAGGCTTTTAAAATCTGATTGAAGATCAGGTCAAAGTCTTAATTTGCCGAAGATGACAGTGTATCAGTAATGTTTCAAATTAGGCCAAAAATTACAGATTATAGATACAAATTAAATATTACAAAATCACAATAACAAGGAAAATTAAGTGCAAAAGCAGCATGCAGATATTAATCAACACCTTATCAGCAAGAGACATCCGTGTTGACGGCTCAAGCCTTCGGAATTCATCCAAACCTGGAAATAAAGGTAAAGTTCTCCTTTTTCCTGTAGAATTTTACTGAACCAGAAACAAGGGGAGTCTCACAAGGAACACTGCCAGTCAAGGTAAATGTACAGGAAACAACTATAATAGTTAAATCATTTGATTTTTGGCATATTAAAAACTGGTTTTAAAAGAATAACGGTGTGTTTAACAATGTCTAGCATCAGAGGAACCAGAAATGCACAAGATTGTGGGAAAATGTGAAGTCTGGGCGGCCCCAGTTAACCTGATGCTTACTAAATGTTCTATCGCCCAGTTTTGGGACAGGAATCTGCCAAGCTGGCACCTTGGCGCTCACCTTGAAGCATACACCCACAGGCATCTCCACACAGATGTCAGGCTCAGAAGAAAACAAACCAGCACATGAAAAATGAGGACGCATCACAAGAATGCAGACGAGCAGGGGAGAGGAGAACAGATCATGACAGGAGAGCACTGGCTCATTAATCTGGGCCTCAAACAAGCTGTGAGGCACTAAGAGATGCCTGGGGGGTGGTGGTGGGTGGGGGGGGGGGGTGGTCATCATGCAGCCATCTTGACCAACATGGATTACTGTAATACATTTGTAATCAGTTCATCTGACCTATCATTAACTGCTGCCATTGCTTTTGACATACAGCTCTATTTATGAGAATATGTGCACTCACATAATCGTATATGATATAAAGATGTGCAGTCTTATCTTTTCGCACATGAGCAATTTAAAAAGGGGGTCAGCCTCCCACCCCGGACAGAGAAAAAAGCCCTTAACAACCCAAGGTAAATAAATAAATAAAAATACTACAGTACGAACTACCGCATGGACAATACACGGGATGCAGGGATGCAAATAAAACAGAATAAAATTGTTAGTATTTAAGCAGGGGGAGAGCGTGGAGATGCAGACCATGCCTATGAAAGAGGGGGTGTACAGGACGGCAATCAGACGCGCTGACAGGAGGCAGGTTGGGTGTTTACGCCGGTAACAGAGGGGATCTGGGGGCGTGGCGGCGCCCCTCCCGGTGCCCTCGCCGGGAATCAGAGACCGAGACCGGCTTTTGGGGGGGTGGGGGTTACGGAGCCCGATGGTGAGGAGGTGGCTGCCTACCGTGGACGTCCTTCTGGGCGATGTTCTGGAGGCGGATCAGCGAAGAGAGGCGCCGCACATCACCGTCAAAAACGCAGCGGTGTAGCGGGAAGTCGTCAGCGGCCAGCAGCACCGGGTTGCGGTTCAGGTCGTCCACGGCACAGCACGGCGCCACCGCGTTGTCGTTGGGCGGTGACTGCGGACTTCGAGCCGCCTGCTTGTGTGCGCTGAGGAGCCGGCCACCGCCGACTCGCTCGGTGCGGGTATCGCCGGCCAGCGACGCGATGGCGTCGGCTTCTTCGCCGGGCCCCAGCAGATCGTCGTCCTCGCTCGGCTGGCGCTCCCTGCCCAGCGAGCGGATCGTCTCCCCGGTCATATTCGTGCCCTCTGACCGTCTCACTGGAAGCGGCTCCGGCGGGGATGCTTGGCCGGCGAGCCCGGAGAGGTGCGTCGCTGGCAGCTCCCGGAGAGTATCGGCAGAAAGGAATGCGACACCCCGCTCAACATGGACACTAAATGCCGGACTGGAGCATCAAACATCACCATCGGGGCAAAACTCAAGCCTGGGTCCGCTCAGCGTTGAGCTAAATCCAACCGAATCCCGCTGGGACCCGTCTGCCATCTTCCCGCCACAGATCTCGCGAGAATTCTCAGTACCAAGACGCACACGTAAGGGCTGGGTCGTCTCGAGTTATCGCGAGATTTTGGTTGAGCTCGCGGTTTAAGAGTTTTAATGTCTATTATTTTAGAAGTGTGTGTGTAATTAACCACCTAACGTTTTATTCACTCAACCTCCGCTATTAGCTGTAGTCAGTATCGTAACACTGCCAAATTATTTACAATCAAATATAAATTTCATTTTTTAAAACAACTTGTTTGTGCCCTTAAAATTACTTAAAATCAGATTTCCCACTAATTTCTTTCGAACTAAAACGTACAATTTCAATTCAGTGCATGCTTTGAGTATTAACATTTGTTTAGATCAAGCCATAGATGTTTTGAAAACAAGTAGATTTATAAAATGATGTAAAGTCAGTTTTAAATTAATATTTAATGCCTGTCCGTAATTTTCAAGGGATAGTTTTCGCTGACATTGACTGCAGTATAAGAGTTAGAAGTAGGGATGTACAGGGCCTGGGCCTGAAGCCCACAGTAGACTGAAATTACAGTTGTGTGATCTTCTGGGGTGAGTGCTAGGATCATTTATGGGATGGATGTTTCAATAAAGTTTGAGTACAGACTGGCTGGGCCAATTCACTTTCTCATGTAATTACAACGTTAACTTGGCCTTGTGCTTTAGACACCTGCATTAGATCAATCAAACGGAAAGTAATTAAAAATTAGATCAAGTGGTAAAACAGAAACGTGGCCGTTGCATGGTTTTCATTTGCGTTTACATTTAATTAATTTAGCAGATGCTTTTATGCAAAGCAACATACATTATTTGAGAAAGTAGCATGCACTTTTGAATAACTTACATACTATATAAGCTTTTTTTTTTTTTTTTAAATAGTGTATAATTAAGACTTTTATTGAAAAATTTTATAGGTTTGAATTAAATTATTTGTAGGTATTCTTTTCGTGATTGTTCATCACTGTATTCTTAATTGTGTTCCAAAAGGTAATCATATTATCATAAACTGTGTTGCATAATAAAACTTTACAATAGTGTTTTGTTTTGTGTTAATTTAATTCAGCTGCTAACAAAACCATTTTCCCCACACAACCGAACATCTTTGCTTTCCCGTGTGGCGATGTCTGTGTCGCAGCCAGACCTGATTAATAATACGTCGTAATTCTGAAATACCACAAGGGGGCGATGTTGGAAAATGAATTGTTTCGCGGAAGGCCCATCTGTGGGCTCTGAGCGTAGCAGCATTTATACACACTCGCCTTCAGCTCACTAAGCATCTTTTATCAAAACTGTAACCCATTTGCAGAGTAAATTTGGACAATAATAGTGCGCAGAATTTGAAAAGCAGAGCAGCCTAACCATACTGCAAACATTACTGTGGTACTGCAGAGAGGAGCAATTAGCCCTTCTGTGATATCATCCCTGTAGTAATCTTTAGCATTTTCATACCATAAAATTATTATTTTCGTCATATAATTATAAACTATAAACTATTCTTGTTGCCTTAATTGTCAATGGAATGCATATTTAGCTGAAAATTAGAAGACCAAATTTGTGAGATTCCAGTTGATATTTCAAACACTAATTTATTTATTTATTCATTTATTTTTAATTAAGCTTCCTGAGCAGGCAAAAATTGGATTTACACTGTAAGCCTTAAAGCTTCCTACTTCAGCAGTTTTGGGTCCTTGTTACTTTTTTTCTGTCGGCATTGACAGGAAGTATTAAGCAGATATATATATATATATATATATATATATATACGATAAGCACCAGAAATCACCAGTCTTCCCGCAAAATTTCAGCAGACATTCCCAGCAGCCAATTTTCCACACTCATTGTGTCAAATCGTGGTAGGACTTGTATGAAGGATGATAGTTATTAGATGTTTATTAAGCATTTGAACCATGGTTTTGTGGATATCTGTATCTTGTCATGGGTTTTACTGTGATTCCTCAAGAAGATGCTGAATATACTTCAGTTGTTCCATCTATCCAACCTCCATAACTGCTTATCCTTTAAAGAGGTGTCTTGAGCCTTGAGCCTAGGCACCACTGACAGGATGAAGGCACAAATGAAAAAACTGCAATTCAGACAATCCAATAAGCGAACTGTATGTTTTTTGGACCGCAGCAAGAACCTGGACTACATTGTGGTATACTACATAAACACAGGAAGGACACACACACACAAACTCAGCCAGGGGTGGGATTTGAACCCCAATCCTGCAGGCGTGAGGCCGCAGTGCTACCCACTGAGTCACCATGTTGCAGTTGGCAATGTTATTGGTTGTTAACATTAACCTTCCAAATACAGCGTCCTTAGCTTTTTAATATGTCAGCATTGCATGGAAAATTGCTAGGAAGCCATTGACACACACACACACACACACACACACACATCACAAAGCTTTAACAACAAAAACAAAGACGACAAACAACTGAATATATAATGTCAGTATTATCAAGATTCACTGGCAAAAAATAGTCTAAATAACAGCTAAAGTATGTCATGTTCTGAAGATGTCGTCTTCATATTTAAATTCATGAGAAGATGACCAGTGAATCTGCTGATGTCTCAGTAGGTACCAAGTGCTGATGGATGGGAGAGTTATGAAACACATATTTCTGGGAAGGCCTTCTCATAATGGCATGAGTGCTAGTATTACATTATTACCCTGACCACAATACTCACATCCAAGGTTTCATGTTCATGCACATCGAATGACTAACAGCCTCAGACTGACTCACTTCTGGCACAAACGTGCATTTACCAAACGTGCTGCAGGCTTCTCCTGACCCCACAGAAGCTACCCACTTGCCTCGCTGGTGTCCATCTCCTGGCACGTTGGCGGAGAACACGTGGACCTGCCAGCTGAGATCACATCAAAACAGAACCCCTATCGGCTGAAGTGTGCTTGGAAACATGGCCGCATGGATATCAGCAAGCTGTCTGTGTGTCTGCTGTTCATGCTTGCTATTCAGCTCGCTTCTAAAGGAGACTATCATGCTAGCCGTGAAGCTTAGACAGTGGTCTTTGCAGGTCACATGTTCCCATATCAATCCATTGACAGACAGACGATGTGTTAACATTCATTACGTAGGGAAAACATCATTATGTTAATTTGTTTGGAGAATACAATACAGAGAACAGGCAAACTTTTTAAATTATTCAGTTTCTGTGTTAATGGAAACACTCGATCACAGTTTGACTCCAAATGGGGAATCCTACTAGATGACATCAGAGGGATTTGACGTTTTTTTTCCCCCAGTCAAGATTTTCCTTAGGGACCAAGGTTGCGGCGAGGTGCCACGTTAAATTAAAGAGCGCTGGGCCAAAAAGCAAAACGACCAAGCTTTTTCAGGGGAACAGAAAATGAATCTGCCACAGAGGAGGAATTAAAGAGGAATGATAAATGAACAGAGATCGACCGAGGTAAAGGACTCTACTTTCCTGCCTTATCTTCCCAGAAAAGGAGGCGCGGGCGTCTCCCGCACAATGGGAATCACTCACGCCACAACAATCGACACGTATCTTTAACTGATGTTTATTAGTATCAAACCACTTTTACAAAATGACATAGGGTGGGCTAGAACATGCTGTTCACAATGCGAGATCTTAAATTACCAACTACATGGATTTTTTTATTTTTTAATCTTGGATGAAACAGTGTAAAAGGATATAAGCCGTTCGAGGTATTTTAACCACGAACAGCAGTCCAGTGACTCAGCTTGTCAGACACGATCACATTCTCATTGGCTAAAATATCGCGACTCACAAAAGGTAAACTCGATTTAAGTATTTTTTTTTTTTAATACTGAACAAATACGCTTAATTTTTGCCTGCCGTATCATCATCATCTTGTTTTAATTCTTTTACAGTTATAAGGTAGCATAAATAGAAGGATACCATCTTATTCCATTTTTGAACAACATCGCAGAAACGCACTAAAGTCAAATGGGCCAAATTTATTCTGCTGTGCTACGAACTAGACCTTTATTTAAGTGTACTTCGTTGTTCATTAGACATCGGTCACATTACTCAGAGACACAGATTTATAGATTTGGCTTTAAAAATACTCAAAATGTATTGTATATATGCATATATAGTGAGTAGGCAGGGGGCCACTGTGCGGCAGCCCAGGACTGAGCTCCGTCCTGCACGTTTCCAGGCGTTTGTGAGTCTAGCTGGCCTCCTTTGTTGTGTGTACAGGCTAATGCTAAATCAGGGCCACCTGAGCCGGACGGCTCAGCGATGTGCAGGGGCAACACTGGCTCTAGCGGTAAGACTCCCGATTTATCTGCCTTGTGGAGGAAGTGACACGATCATCGATTTTCCTGGTAGGGGTCGCCTCTCAAGTAAAGCTTTGCCTAAGGCCCTGAAAAGGTAGAGCTGGCCCACCGGTGTGTTCGCTGTTTCGTTAGCGGGATTTAATTTTACTTCTATATAAATCTTTCTCTTACATTCGCATCCTCACACCTCAGCTTGTCTGCGCAATTCCCTTCTTCTCCTCCTCACCTGTCACTATATATACCTTGTGAACTGTCATGTATACACTGGAAAAAGGAATATACAGAAAATGGCTTGGTATTTACTTTCGATCGTTTCAGTAAGACTACTCGCACACTACTCGCACACTACTCACATAAGCACGTCACGCCAAGCGAATCGCTCGCCATCTCCACGGAAAGACCAGAAAGACCTCTTTAAAGAGTCGGAATTATCTAGAACTCGTTGCACTGGTGTCTAACTGCCTTATTTTCCAGCTCAGTGATAATAATGACAAAAAAAAAACATGGCAAACTTTTGAAACATACACATTTTTATGCTGGTATAAAACCAGTTGTATTTCTATATCCAAAAACAATCACTTCAAGGTGGAGGGTGGGGGGCTATGCTCTGACCAAAAATGTATCACTTAAATGAAGCGTAATAGATTATTGGCCAATCTTGGTCAGGTGTCGAGGTTGCATGTCAGAGCTCACTCTTTATTTGTGATTTTTTTCCCCATCGGTGTAGAATCCTGTTTACATGACTAAAATAAACACTTCTGTGTGGGAGATGTGTATGACAAGGGCTGACAGAAAATCTGACTTAAAAGCTGATTATATAAAGTTATTTGTGGAATGTTTTGATGCTGACAGTTCGCAGGGCTCCTCAGAAAAAAAGTGGAGAGGAAAGGCGAGGCCCTTCTCCGGTGGCATTTGACGAACTCCTCCACTGAAAATGTGCAAAAAAATGCTCCACAGAATTCCATATGTTCCTGTTCCTCCATTTTATCTTTCTGAGAGCTACCGCACCTAGGAACAAGGCCAAGGACCCTGAAACGTTGTGACACCGCGTGCATCCTCTAATCGTCTCGCTAGTACCATCAGATAGGCCGTAGACTTGCTAGCGTTCGATCCATAGTAAATGGGAACTACTACAGATCTGCTGTGGAAGACCCTATATTTCGAACCACCAGCCTTAGTTGTACGGTGCTTTGGAAAAGCAGAGATGGATGGACTAGCTTTCCTGCGTGTAGGAAGAAACAGGGCAGAAAATTAACCAGGATCTTAATATTTGACACACTAGTGGATTCTAATATATGCCAACAGAGGCCTGAATTGAAAATTTAACGAATGACCTTTTCCATGCATGGTAAGAAGTGCCATTAGAAGCAGTAAGACAACTCCTTGATCCTTTTAACTTAAATTATGTTGGCTTAAGAGGTTCCAGTTGTTTTTCCACATTAATACACGTCCTCTTAACGGGACAGATGAATATATCTGGAAATAGGTTTTCCAGAGAGACTTCATGTATTTTGGAGTGAACTGAGACTTGGAAATGTCAGGCCTTTGGAGCCAGTAGTACAGAGCAGGACATAACATATACATGAAACACAGCGAAACTCTCTATCCCAGTCAGATAGTGAACTTAATTCCTTTTTGTTATTAAATCCCATTCACAGATATATATGTATATGTGAGGGAAAAACTTTAAACATCTCCCTTC